CCTCACTATAGTGTATTTAATATAGCGTATTTCTAAGTTTAAGACCATAAGCATTAGACTTGGCATAAAATGTTCTAAGTCCAACATATTTAGAACAATATAAATGATTCCAGAACACATTTTCTTCCTTTGTGTTTTAGGTAAATATAGACACACTAGGGCTAGAAGCTCCACACGTCTGGAGGTGCTGGCTTTTAACAAAGCAGCAGCAAGCACCCTCCTTACTCTTGTCAGTAATCAAGATGTTAAGAACACTGTTGTATCTTTCTAATCACAAACACCAAGGTCTCCAAGTCTTGTTGTAGGATCCAGACTTGGATCCACACCATGCAAACCTCCTTCGCTTTGCTTCTTCTTTCTGTAATGTTTTCTTCTCAACCTCCATGAGTACTTTAAGTGGTCTTACTTCTCCCAAGAAATATTCAGCAAAGAATCTGCTTTCTAAATAGATTCCTAAAAACTCATTAACTCACTCTGACTAACAAGAAACTGTGAGAAACCAGTTCCCTCTGCAAAGGTATAGTCAGGCTCCCGAGCTTAGAAAGCCTCTGTGTTAATTAAATCAGGACTAAATAAACAGCAGTTATGGTCATTACTTTTTTTGTTTTGTTTTGTTTTTGTTTTGTTTTTTTAATCTGATCAATTATATCATTAACATTATAAGCCCACTTGGGTATGCTGGCCTCTAGTTCTGCTTGGAGCCCACAGGCAATGTATGTTGACACTACACAAAGGCACACTTAGGAAAGATGACTCATTACAGAAAACGAAAGACGATATTCAGTAAGACAATAAATGATCTTCATTTCTTTCCCCAATTCCATTCTAATTCAACAGCTTACACAAAGGACACTTTATTTGCAGTGAAGTTGAAATGGTTTGTTTTTTAAAGCTTAAAATATAACAAAGCTCAATCTAAGAAAGATGGAGTCCCCGATTTAAACCTGCGCTCCCACCTACGATCAGTAATAAGAAAAAAAAAAAAGCTTTGAAATTATCCATATCAAGAGAAGGCTACAAGGATCACAAACAGAACTAAGTAAATGTTTCAAAAGCATGTCACAGTTAAACTCTGCCCAAGGACAGAAGAAAAGACAGAACCGTTCTTTTTCTTCAACCTACAACAAAGTTGAACTTTCAGGCAGGAAATCACACACAGCATTTACCTGAGAAAAATGAAAAACTGAAGACAACCAGAAAAGAATAGCAATCTGTAACTAGCTGTGCGTTCAGAACGAACCTCTTTATTCTCCATAAACTTAAATGGCTTCTGAGGCTGCAGAGGACTATAATTCACAGCCAAGGACAGCTTAACTCCTCATTCCCATCTCTATCTGTCTCTTTTTGCCTCAAAAGTTCTCTCCCTTACAGGAACACTTCAGTGATTTCTGGCAACAGTTGCCAAGTTACCATGTGTTACAGTCCTATTAAAAAAAAAAAAGACAAAAAACAAAAGAACCCCAATCCAATACCTTCCTTCCACTCTCCCATTTCATCACCAACAGGCCAAGGGCAAATATACCTATAGAGGAGCACAAGACAAAGAAACAGCCCAGTTTGCCTAGTAATCTTTCAGCTTTTTGCATCTCCAAGATTTCCAAGCTACCAGAGATCTCTTTGTTAGAAGGATTTATCATCCAGTAATTTGTCTCATTAATTCAATGAGGTAACTTTGCGCTCACAACCTCTGGTGACAGTGAGCTCTGCCTTTAAGGCACATTGCAAGTCTCACCTTGCTTTTGTCCTGATACACCACTGGCTCTCTCTGGCCCCCATACTTAGAGAAACAGCAAAGAGCTGCTCCCTATACATGCATCCTCTGCGTTCATCAGTTCTACAGACATTTTTCCACATACAACACAGTTGTCTACCCATGTAAAAAAAAACTCCTACTTATTTATTCATTATTTACATTAATGAAAACTATCACTAATTCTGGATACATCCTAGCTGACTTCTCCTTTATCATCAGTGCTTCAAGATTGACACCCTCGCTGTTCACCTGACATCCCTACCTCACCCAAGGCTAATTCTTGGCCCCTCAGTTAGCATCAAGCAGTTCCTCCACTAGAGGATAGCTATTTAATTTGCTTGATCATGTTGAACATATATGGAAAAGAAATTGGTACTGCAGAAAAGGGACTGGGAGAAAACTTTCTGGATTCCACTGAAAGCCAGAGCACACAAAACTAAGAGGGATACTTGGTTAAGCATGTCCAGTCTCATTGCTCTTGAAGTATGAGGATTTAAGATTGGACAATGAAGTCATTATACATTCCTAATTTTACAGGAAGAAAAGCACAAAACAGCTGCAGCTCCAGACAGAAATATAATCTAACCCAAAAGAGAAAACTAGCACTGCTGACAGGGAAATTATAAACACTATTGATGTTTGTAAGGTCCATTATTCCAAGTTTTCTAGTATTGGAGATAGGTAATGTAAACAAGTACCATTACCCTCCCAGACATATCAGACCTTAAAAAGAATCTGGCTTTGAAGGAAGTCTTGCTTTAGTAATATCATCAAATCTACCCTACAATAGCACAGCAGGCTAATAGTTATTCCAGCATCAGCAATACTTTACAACCAGGCAGTATGCATGTACACCTGGGCCACACAAGATGCTCTCAGACACCGAAGACAGCTAGCACAGTGCTAGCATTTTAAAAGAACTGGTAGAATAACCCAAATGTTTAGGAGTATACCACCTTTTCATTGAACCCAGGCAAACTAGAAAGACAGCTCATATGAATTTAAGAAGGCATATAATTCAGTAATGATTAATTTAATCAAACTGAAATCTGAGCAATAGATTAGACAAAATGTAATTTTAAGTGCAGGAATCCTGCCTTGAAAACTTTTTAAAGAGGTAGCTAGTCCCACACTTCCTTTAACCCAATGAATCATAATACAAAATTAATGCAAAGGGTGCTGTGAACTGGTTCAATAACAGATCTCACAACATAATTACTAAAGAGTCACTAAATAGGCATTTTTGTCGTGGAGCACTGCAGGAATCATCATGGTCCAGAACAGCATTTTTATCAGTAACTCAGACAAAAACAGAAGCCTTTGAAAATACAAAGGAATTGGAACATAGAAGGCGGCACTGGAAAGTAAAGTAAATAAAATACTGACACCATGAAGCAGAATTGTTTCTCACACAATACAGAGGAAACAAGAAAATACTGTCAAATGGACAATGCAAATTTAGAACACAAAAAGTGTCAGAGTAACTCTTGAGAAGAAGAGCTTCAAATCATGACAAACTGCACAATATTTTTAAAGTCTCAGGACCGCTATCAGCAGCTTCATGCTGCCATCTAGAGGAGGGCAGTCAGCAGGGTTTCTTAATTCTGTTTTTGGTAAGCAGCTTTGATCATCAACTATGTAAATTGTGAAATACTAAGTTTCAATCGAAAAAGGCATAATCAAATCATATACCACTGAAACAAAACCACAAACTCTTTAACTTTAATGAGCAGGTCTTTTGGATTTTTCTTCTTGTTCTCTTACTAACCTAAGTCTGCAAGAGAAAAAGATAGTATTGGAAGAAACAGTCCCAAGAGCCCATGTTCGAACACAGCATTTCATTATATGTGGAAGATTTCCCAACATAAATGTATATGTCATGACATACAAAGTATTCAGTGTGTTACAGGTTAAAGGAAGACAGACTTCAGTGAAAAGAAGTTGCAAATACGGTGAGAGGTTATGTAAACCTTAGAAATTTAAGATTTCAATTGCCACACGCGTATGGGTACCACTCTCAAACCTCACACCTTTTATTTTCTCACTTGGTCTTCTTTTCATATTTCTTACCAGTAAAAATAAAGAGAAACAAATACAACAAAAATTGTTAAGCTTTTTTGTTCTCTTGAGTTCTTCTTAAACTCCATTTAGCACACCAAAGCTGTTTGACATGTAAACCTACAGCTTAATAAGGAAAGCCAATCATCAGCCAATCTTGTTATTTGATTAAGATTTCCATTGTTAAAGTATAACTTCTACTCCACTAAAAGCCTTATTCAATCCTCGTAGATATTAGCGCTGAAAGTAAATTTCTACTTATGTAGAATGTGTTCAAACAGGCTTAATGATCTATTGATAAGAAAGCACTAGGGTATTTCAGGCTTACAATCGTGAGACTTCAAAGTTTGACTGCTTTTTGTTACCCACTGAAATGAAGCTGAAAAATCTTTAAGTCTAAAAATTTTCAAAGCTACATGTAAAGCCCAAGAGTTAGCTGTAACTGAAGTCTATGACAAAGCAAAATAAAGCAGAAAAAATTAAATGCGTCAATATGCACAGGTACTGTTTAAAGGAAGCACAATCCCTATGGAATCTTCAAAGCTGGATCACCACATTAACAACAAAATCCTAAATGCAATGATGACAAAAAATCATCTTTTTTTTCCCCCTCCTTAAAAAAGGCACTGACATAAATTGGTTGTTGGTAAGTGGGATGAAGGTCAACTTTAGAATGCAGTGACAGCACCTCCTGCTACAGCTGACTATGGAGAAAAATAACTGAGAGGCCAAAAGCTGCAAGAGCAGTAATGGCTAACAGAATCCTGCACACCAGTCATATTTTCACTCTGTAGGCAGTACAAAAGGTTTCACGGAAGTGTTGGCACAGATACTCTGATAAAGAGTGTTAGCACCTAAGCGGGAAATGAAGCAAAACCAGTGATTTACCTAAGCCAAAGCTATGTCAGAAATTTATGGGCCACTAGAAAATACCAGACCTTAACATTCAAAACAGAAAACAAAATCTAAAATAAGAAATTCTTTTAAACATATCCTATTAGGCTTCACTCCACCCGTGACAGGCTTGCTTAGAGAAGCACTCTTTTTTTCTTCAGAAAATTCTCTACTGTACTGTCATAATTGTGCGCCACATCTGTAAATGTACTTTTCTGACTGTAAGTGCAACACAAACGCACACTTCAGTGGCAAGATTTATAATGCAGCGGTCACATCTGTGCACAGAACTCACATTCATCCAGTCCCAGCTGATAAGCCAAGTTCTGCAGGCCACGAACCTTCTCCATCAGGTTAGCTGTAGTGAGGCTTCCCAGCTCTAAGACAGAAAAGTGTGATTTTTAACACTGTCTGTAGCCCCCCAGTGGCAGTTTATATGTTTACCACTTCACAAAGCATTCAAATCATACCTTCAACAGTATCAGTTTATGGTGTACAGCATTATATTCTTTTAACTCTCACAGCTCATAATAACCAGCAAGACGTTCTAACCATTCCAAAGCAGAAATGGCAAGCAAAAAAAAAAAAAAAAAAAAAAGGAAAAAATAAACAGCAGGGATTTACTGGTTCAAAAAGCAGTAACAAGGAGAACAACCACATTTGTAATCAAGATATATTCTTGCAGATGATAGGACTAACTAAAATATAGGTAATGAACAAGACAAAGACTCCTAAGCAGAATCATTCAGCTGGAGATTCCGATTCCGCAGATGTAGGGACAAGAGACCTGAGGCTATAGGAATTACTAACAGGAGCCTCTTGCCTTCAGAATTGAAGCAAATCAATAGCATGATAAAAAAGTAAAAATAGCATAAATGGTTGGGCAATCCTGGAAGAAGCACTGAACAGAATAAGAGGAGCATTCCCCATCCCTTCACTTCCAGAAGGCTTCAGAAGGCCTCTGAGCTCAGCTTTTCAGTAGGCACTGAATTTCTACCCACAGACAACCTCACTACCCATGGTGCTCATACTCACCCTTTAACATATCGATATCATCATTTTCCAGTTCAGCCATCCATTTGGGAGGCGAGCTTGTAATAGGCTGGTTTGGGGGGAGGAAAAAGAAAAAGAAAAAAGGCAGAGCATGCTCAGAGAAGTACATTTTTAGCAGCATACAAAGCCTGACCTAGCATTTACAACCAGGTACACTGACAGGATAACTGGCCCCAGGTACCCTACAGGGATACTCTAACGCCTATTTCCATTTTCTAGCTCTCCCTGAGCAGATCGGGAGTTACAATAAGACACCGGTTGAAGCCAGCAGCAAGAGCAGCAATCCCCAAGGTTCAGAGCAGTGCCTTCCTCCCGAGCTGTGACAAGTCGCAGCCACAGTAAGAGCCACACAGCACGAGATAGGGGCAGCTTACGCTTTTGAAGGAGGCGGCGAACTCGGCGACGCCGGGCACTAGAAAAGAGAAGCGAACAGCGCCGGGTGAGCGCGGGGCCGGGCCGGCAGCCCCGCCATCACCCCACTCGCACGGGCCCGCCGCACTCACACTGCTCAGGCCACAGGTCCGGAGAAGCCCGGTCAAGCTTCTCGAAACTCAGCAGCGAGGCTTCCAGATCAGCACCTACAATACACGGAGCGGAGCAGAGGTGAAGCGGCGCCTGGCCAGACCTCACCGCAGGGTGACGGCAACCCCACCCGCGCGCCTTACCGTCCCCGGGAGCCGCCATCTTGCGCGCGTCACGTGACCTAAACCCGCCACCCGCGGGAATCCACCCGTGTGACCGCAGAGCCGAGCCAGAGCGCCTTAGCTCTCGTGGCCAATCGCTGCCCCGGAGGGGGGGGCGGTGGCGAAAAGGGGGCGGGGCGAGGCTCTCTCTGGCGGCGATTGGCTGGCGGCCGGCAAGGCCCCTCCGGAGGGGGCGTGCAGCGGGCGAGGAGGACACTCGTCTGACCAATAAGCGGGCGGAGGCGGGCCTTCGGGCGGGCGGGAGGTGTGGCGAGGGGCGCCGTTCGGGGTCCGCGGCGCAGCGACCCTCGGCCGGGATGGCGGCGGCGGCGGCGCGTGGCGTTTGGGGCGGGCGCCGGCGCGTAGCGCTCAGGGTGAGGCGACGGCCGCAGAGCACTGCGAGCGGGGCCAAGGATGGCACCCCGGGGGGGAAGCAGGGGATCTGGGGGCGGTGAGGAGCCCCGCGTAACCGGGCTGCTTTGTGTCCCCCATCCAGCTGCCGCCGAGAGCCGGTGTTCCTTGGATCGCTTCGGCCGCCGCCTCCTCCTCTGTGGTGAGTGGGGCCGGGCGGCTCCCCGGGGCAGAGGTGCTGCTGGAGAAGCGCTCCGGCGGGCTGGAGGGGGGCCCGCGGCGGGGCTGGGCGGCTGAGGCGGCGGTGGGCTGTGGGGCTGTGGGGCTGTGGGGCTGTGGTTGGGTCGTTCACCGAGGCTCTGCCAGGCCGGGAGGAGCTCGGATTTCCTGCACTTCCTTCAGTTCTGGAGGAGATAGTCTTCTCCCGAGTGCAGCCCGCGGCGCCGCTTGTCGCGCTGTAATGTCAGCCACATCAGCACTTGTAACGTTTTATTTTTATTTTAACCCATCGCAGTATTCCTTCGTAAGCCAAGGCCTCGCTCATCCATTACCAGCATTAGGTCGGACATCTCACTTCAGCTCTGCTCGCTGACAGTGCCCCAGCCCTTGCCATTCTCTTCCTTTTTCACTCCTTCACTTTTCACTGCCATGACCTGTCCAAGACAGCCCTGTTTGTTTTCCTGATTTGTCCTCTGATCCCTCTCCCACCATCACACCAGCGAGAGCATCCCTGTCCTCACTGGCCTCACCAGGTGACCTGCCTGGTGGATGAGGGAAAGGCTGTTGACACAGTCTACCTAGACTTCAGCAAAGCCTTTGGCACTGTCTCCTACAGTATCCTCCTGGAGAAGGTGGCAGCCATGGCTTGCACAGGTACACTCTTCGCTAAGAAAAGAACTGGCTGGGGGGACAGACCCAGAAAGTGAATAGCCCTCATTAATATCTTTACTGATGATCTGGACATGGGAATTTAGTGCAGTAAATTTGCAGATGACAACACGCTGGGAGGAAGTGTCAATCTGCCTGAGGATAAGAAAGCCTTACAGAGGGATTTGGACAGGTTGGATCAATGGGCTGAGGTCAGTTGTGTGACCTTTAATGAGACCAAGTGTCGGGTCCTGCATTTTGGTTGCAACAACCCCATGCAACACTACGGGCTTGGGATCAAGTAGCTGGAAGACTCTGCAGAGGAAAAGGATCTGGGGGTGTTAGTTACTGACAGCCAGCTGAACGTGAGCCAGCAGTGTGCTCAGGTAGCCAAAAAGGCCAATGGCATCCTGGCTTATATCAGAAATAGTGCAGTCAGCAGGGAAGGGATCATCCTCCTTGGTACTTGGTACCTCAAGTACTGTGTTCACTTTTGGGCTGAAGGGAATGGCCTCAAGTTGTACCAGGGGAGGCTTAGATTGGGTATTATGAAACGTATTCTCAGAAAGAGTGGTGAGGTACTGGAACAGGCTGGGCTGCCCAGGAAAAGTGGCAGAGTCACCATCCCTGGAGGTGTTCAAGAACCGTGTTGATGTGGCACTGAGGGACATGGTTAGTGGTCATGGTGGTGATGGGTTGATGGTTGGGCTAGATGATCTTTGAGGTCCTTTCTAACCTTAATGATTCTGTGATCACCCTCTCATAACTCCATGTCCCAATTTTCTTCACACAGCTTCCTGGTATATATGGTTTTATCCTCATTTCTATGACCTGTGTACCATCCCTGTGTCCTTCACTCTGTATCTCTGTTTCCTCTTCTTCCTATCCATTCTCCCCAAGTGAAGATTCTGTGGCAGCATGAAGTGTTTCTCACTTTCTCCAGGTTTCCTCATTACCTCTCAATATCAGTTACTAGTTTCCAGTCTCTTCACTTATTTGGCCCCAGCTTTTCCTGCATGCTACAGCACTAACTGCATCTTCTACCCCTGCTTTTTCTTCTCCATACTTACCTGAGCTCCCTAACCAAAACTTTCATTTTCCTTTCTTCTGCACCTGAACTGGAAAGCTGTGCCCTCTGTGCTGCCTGCCATGGCTGTGAGCTCAGCAGCAGCAGGTTCCCTGCTCTTGGCTGCAGAACCACTTGGGAAGCAGGAACAGGACAGCACTGATGAACCAGCTTAGTGACTTGATGGGAAGGAAACGTAGCACAGTTTGCACCAAGTGAGCGGAATTCTTACAAAGTGAATTATTAACTGTTTTTTTTTAATACGTTTAGGAACTGCAGGGTTTTTGTGACTTAGTAATTGTAGTGACTGAGTAGATTAAAATAGTTCTGAACATAATTCTAGCAATATGTATCTTCTGTAATAGTTTTTAGACAGGGTTTTAACAATTTTAGTCTAAATCAAGGGAAAAAATGGAGTACAGCATAAATGACAAAAGTCTGCGCATAACAGGGCACTTTGTTATGTGTGCACCTTCAGGCAAAGATCACTCACTGTGCTGTCTTCCACAGCCAACAACCAAACTGTTCATTGATGGGAAGTTTGTCGAGTCCAAAACCACAGAATGGATTGATATCCACAACCCAGTAAGTGAAATGGCTTCTGCTTATATACCCACAATTGGTGTGTAAGAGGGTGCTGTGATGGGGGAGTGTGTGTGCTTCTGGAGAAAGCTCAGAGTTGGAGCTTTAGCACTGTAATTGCTTCGCAGTTTCCTCTTCATGTTCAGTGTCAGTCTTAGGGAAGTAATGACCTCTTTTATATCCCTACGTAGTAAACCCCTGATCTCTGGAGAGAAAGCTGTTTAAGTATTTTTCGCATAGAAAGCCTCTGTGAATGTGATGTCAAAATTTCAGAAGGCTTCCTTTCATCCTGCATGTATGCAGCCCGATATGATTTGATGCCAGCTGAATGTGAAGTCCTGATCAAATTGCAAAATGTATCAGACAAGTCGCTGAAATTCCCACTTGGAAACCAGTACTGCATTTACAGTTTTCTGTGTGCCTGATTTGAGATGTTTAGACTGAAGATCTTCAGTACTACAAAATGCATAGAATTCCAGCTCTGGTCCAGGCCTCTCAGTGTGCACTAAGAGAGCAGGTTTTTTTTCTGCTTCTCCCTGGGAAGTACAGCTCCTTTTAGAATAAAGGTATTAGATGTATGGTGTGCAAGGACTGTTGAATGGTTGACAAGGGCAGCTGGAAAAAAATGAGTTTTGATACAATTTGTTTCTTTCCATCAGGCCACAAATGAAGTGGTTGCTCGTGTACCAAAAGCTACAACTAGTGAAATGGAGGCAGCTGTAGCTTCTTGCAAAAAGGCTTTTTGGAACTGGTCAGAAACATCTGTTTTGAGTCGCCAGCAAATCTTCCTGCGTTACCAACAGCTCATCAAAGACAATCTGGTGAGACACTGTGGCTGTGTGTGATGCTGTAAATGAGGAGCTGACAGAGTCACCATCACTGAGAGGTGTAGCAAAGCACTCTCCAGGCCAAAGCAGACACATAGGCAGTACTTCTTAGGGAATATTATTCTGCATTTGTTTCTTTTACCAAAATACCACAGGAGGAGCTTGGTGGAGAATGTGCCAGTTGACAAAGACAAGTGAGAGAAGTATATTTTTGGATTCCCCAGGTTTTTCTCTGTGTCTGCATTGTGACACGTGAAAGCAATAGAATATAAGCCAGCCCACAGTTGCTTGTTGGTTTTGGTGTTTTTTTTTTCAATATCACTTTTTTACTTATTGACTTCTTGTCCACAAGAGCAAATCAGCCCATGTCGGCTTTCCCAGGATCTACTCAGACTGTGATGTTCAGTAGATATTAAACTTATCCCTGAGCCCTTCTTCATGGGCAAGCATTTTCCTAATATTCATAAACTTTGTGTTTTCCATTTTCAGAAAGAAATTTCAAAACTCATCACCTTTGAGCAAGGAAAGACCCTGGCTGACGCTGAGGGAGATGTGTTCCGAGGCCTCCGTAAGCTGCTGGCTCCGTCTGTTACAAAAGGGGCTTTCAGAACCCACAGGAAGGGAGGAATTCTCCTGAGCAACTGTTTGCTCTAGGAGTTTGTACATCTAGCTCCCCTCATAGCTTCCTTTTGAAAGAAGAAGGGCAGTTGTAACTCCAACTTGATAAGTTCCCTTAGGTAGAGTTCCTAAGTCACTTCCAAGTTGTTAGATCTTTTAGGAGTGACTACTGAATGCTGTAAAGAGATAGGAACTTCTCACTCGTCCTGAAATGTCTGAGGTTGAATCCCAGCTAGTACATTAAAACTACATCTGTACTACTTTTACTGGGGCTGTTGAATCTGTGCTTCTATCACAGTAGTGTATAGCATACTCAGGAGAGAATCCATTCACAGTGAGCTCACAGTGCTTGGGAGAGCAAAGGGATTTTCTGGAGCACAGTGAGTTATAAGTTGTGGCTGGAAGAAAGACTTGGGTCAAGATAGTGCTGAGAAGGGAGTGGGGAGTGACTGTTAACAGATCACCCAGTGGCATATTGCCCTTTCTACTGCAGAGGTGGTTGAACATGCTTGCAGTGTGACATCTCTCATACTGGGAGAGACCATGCCCTCCATCACTAAAGACATGGACACTTGCACCTACCGTCTGCCTTTGGGTGTGTGTGCTGGCATTGCACCATTCAATTTCCCAGCGATGATTCCTCTTTGGATGTTTCCCATGGCTATGGTTTGTGGAAACACATTCTTGATGAAACCGTCTGAGCGTGTGCCAGGAGCACTCATGTTCCTTGCCAAGCTCTTTCAGGATGCTGGTGCCCCAGATGGGACCCTGAATATCATCCATGGACAGCATGAAGGTAATAATAGCTCTTGTTGGATTGGAGTATGTATGTGTTGTGGTGTGTGCTTAGTGGAGGTATTAGAGCTGTTTGAGCATCTGATCCTGCTGCTGTTAGAGAGGTTTGGGAAGACCTCTGTCTTAGCCCCCGTCAGATATGTGTAGAGCTCCTGAGATTTGGCTGGTGGGCCTGTGTTTTGAGTACTTGGGGCCCAGGGCATGAAAAGCCAGCAGAAATCCTGTTGTATGAGCCCTGGGGCAGAACTTGCATTCTGAGAACTTAGAGTGGAGAGATGCATGAATAAGCAGCAGAGGAAATCAAATATAGGAGACAGATACAAGAATTCTAACGAGAAGAAAGATGCATAAGTTAGCAGTATGGGGATGAGGTCAGGGGGAAGCATTTTATACTACAGTGTATAATGTATTATTTCCTATTTGAAGCTGTGAACTTCATTTGTGACCATCCGGATATCAGAGCTATCAGCTTTGTGGGATCTAATCAGGCTGGCGAGTACATCTATGAAAGAGGATCCCGGAATGGCAAGAGAGTCCAGGCTAACATGGTAATGCCACTCAGTACAGCATGCAGCACCACACAGATTTCCTCTATGTGTGTGTGCTTAAACATATCACAGTGTTCTGCAGCAGATGCTGACTTTGCTACTGATAATTACTTGATGAGGCTGACCTTCTTGCCATCCTGTTGGCAGCAAAGTCGTAACTACTACACCATGTTATTACCAGAGTGCTAGAGAAGTGAGCAGGGCTGGTTAATGGAGTCTGTATGTGTTTTGTATTTTAGGGAGCAAAGAACCATGGTGTGGTGATGCCAGATGCCAATAAAGAGAACACCTTGAACCAGCTGGTTGGAGCTGCCTTTGGAGCAGCTGGCCAACGCTGCATGGCCTTGTCTACAGCAATTCTAGTGGGAGAAGCACAGAAATGGTTGCCAGAGTTGGTGGAAAGAGCCAAAAATCTACGTGTAAATGCAGGTAGAGATTTTGATGATTTCTTACCAGCTACTTTGCTTCTGTACGACTGTGGCTTTTTAGGTTGGTGTGTCTGCCATATTGTAGTGTTTCTCTTGGAGCTGCTGGCTCTGTAGGCTTGATCCGTCAGGATGGGAGCTAGCAGATTGTCTGGATTGGGACACAGAGCCCTAGACTTGGAGTTAGGAATATGTAGGAAGGATTGGCAGTACAACTGTGCTGCAAAATTTACAGGTTTGATTTTAACTGGAACTTTGAGATTATGTCCCATATAGAACACAAACTTACTGTTTTACATAGCAATCTCACTTGCAGGTCCTTCCAATTTGTAGTAAGCATACAGTAAGAGGAAAAACAAGTACTTTTGAGATTGATATTAGAATTCTCCTGCTTTTCATTTGTTTTAAATAAAGTCTTGCATGGAGGAAAAGTTTTCTTTCTGAGAAGGATCTGCGATCTTCCCAGTGATCTAAAACTATGCTTATGACTTCTCTTGTTTGTTGATTATGTTTCTTAATGGTACACATCTTTGCTCTGTATCTCAGAAACATCAGAATTTTCCTATTTTTTTCCTGCTCACGTAGTTACCTTCATTCCGCCTAAGAAGAGGAATGATTAAAAGCTTTGCATCTCTGCCTCTGCAGGAGACCAGCCTGGAGCAGACCTAGGGCCACTAATCAGTCCCCAAGCCAAGGAAAGGGTTTGCCACCTGATTCAGAAAGGAGTAGAAGAAGGTGCCAGTCTTCTTTTGGATGGACGTAATATCAAAGTGAAGGGCTATGAAAATGGCAATTTTGTTGGACCAACGATCCTTGCCAACGTCAAGGTGACTTAACAAAAACTAGTGCTTGATGCTCTATGTTGCAGGATCATTTGAAAAATGGGTCAGCCAAATTGGTCAGTAATCAAGATTCACCATATAGAAATCTCATAAATAACTAGTTTTCCCTTGCACAATTCCAGTGAAGTGCTGATTGTATAATGTTGCTATGGAAGTGATGAAAGAATTCACAGGAACAGAACAATATTAATAATATTATTGATATGTATAAAGTTAATAATCTTAACTTTTTTGGAGTGTAACCAATTGGAAGAACATATGGACAGTTTGTACTGTGTCAAATGTCCACTGAGCATTCTGTACTTCCTGTAGCAATGGCCAGTGGCAGATGCCTAAAGAAGAGTATGATAAACAGCCAAACATAAAATTTTCCTGTCTGCCCACTTAAGTATTTATAGATATCAATATAATGCATACTGTTCTCTATGGGAGAATATTTTTTTACCAGTCGGTTTACCAGTTGGTTTTCATATCTAAGTACTCCTTTTTAATGTTTATGCCATTAGCTGGTATTAGTTAATTACTGTTTAAGTATTAGATTCATTTTGGGCCCTCTGGTGAGTGATTCCAACATGGCATACTAGTCTTGATAATTCTGCTATTGTTGTATTCTTACAATTTTATGGATTAAATGCTGTTTATATATTTCCAGCTTTTAATCTGTTTCATAATTTTCCTGCACTGTTTTCATTAAAGATCTTAAAATGTTTTACTTTCCTTTAATTCATTGCAAATAGTATTCAGAAGTAGAAGTTTCACCGAGTATTTTTTATTCTTAGTTCTTTATATGGTAATGTTCAATATTAACCACATACAGCTTACCTGTCAGGTGCATATTTTGTAGTTTGTTGTGTTAGTTATTAGTGATTAAAATAATTCCTAACTGGTACTTCTGTGTTTGTCAGATATTGCTTATTATCAAGCATAAGTCCTGGGCACTGAGTTTCAGAGAACTTCAGTTTATCAGCAAGATAAGTAAAGAAGTAAAGAAGTAAACTGTCCTGAATTAATCCTGGCTTTAATCAGCCTTGAGCAAAGAGTAGACCTGTAACTCATGTTAGGCAGGCAGTAAAAGCAGGAAGTACCTTAGCAATTACAAATTGTACCCTCTTTAGTAGATAGGTGGCAGGGCATGGGAAATGGAATGGCAACCAGGACTGAAGGCAATGGAATATGATGGGTGATTCTAGGAATATCCTGAGCATGAGCACCTTATGTGTTTATATCCTCTTTCCTAGGATACTTGATATATTATATCCTATTCATTATATTCAATATCTAGTCTGCTTTTTCTGCTGTTTGTCTTGGCAGCCAAACATGACTTGTTACAAGGAAGAAATCTTTGGACCTGTCTTAGTGGTTCTGGAAGCAGACACTTTGGATGACGCAATTGAGATGGTGAACAATAACCCCTATGGAAATGGAACTGCAATCTTCACCACCAATGGAGCCACAGCTCGGAAATATTCTCACTTAGTAGATGTGGGGCAGGTATGTTCAAACTAGAATTATTGCTATTAATACTCACTCACCATTTGTGGTAAATAGCCATCCAGCTACAGCAACTGATCACTGACTACTCAGCCAACAGTGCCCAGCTTCAAATTAAAAGATACAGAATATTGTCATTTTTGGAGAGTGCTCTGCAATCTGCTGTTTCTTTGTCTTGTGATTAATGTGGTAGCTTTCCTTTGCTTTAGGTGGGTGTCAATGTTCCAATTCCAGTACCTCTGCCCATGTTCTCTTTCACCGGCTCTCGTGCTTCTTTCAGAGGAGATGCAAATTTCTATGGCAAACAGGTAACTTGCCAAATTTCAGATTACTTTCTTAGGTTGATCTGAGGTAAATCATGTTAGCAATGGCAATGGGAAGTTAGTCATCAAATCTCCCCTTACTGGGGGGAGATTTGAGAAGGGAGCAAGAACTAAAATAGCAAGTTTTCCCATAGGACCAGAATCTTTGGGGAACTGTTGAAAGGAATAAGTTGACAGGAATTGTTCCCACATAGGAAAATTCAGTGCACTGTAGATATGGGAAACAACTGCTTGCTACACCTGTGGCACAAGTATGAATAATTCCTAAGGCCAAATATCTGATCCTTGCATCTCTTTCCCCCAGGGAGTGCAGTTCTACACACAGCTGAAAACTATCATTTCTCAATGGAAAGAGGAAGATGCCACTGTTACCAAGCCTGCTGTGGTTATGCCAACTATGGGGAACTAAATCAGCCTTTAAAGATGCTGTCTCTGGTGCCCCCTCTTTCCATGTTGCAGTTTCCAGCTTTGTCCTGACTATCATGGTTTCCTTGGGAATAAGTAGAAAACTTTGTTTTCTAAGGGCCTCTTTTTCTGTAGGTCAGGCAAGCTTATAATGCACAGTCTGGGTTTTCTGTTGCTGTGATTGTTTTTGTATAACTATCAAAAAGAAACTATCCTATCTAATTGAAAGGGAAAATGGATGAGCTTTACTTTATGTTTCTTTCTAGACCTTCTGAATTTGAACATTATTCTGCTTTCCACTTCAGTACTTCTAGCCTTAGAGATTCACTACTGGCTCCATCTTGTAGCAGTTTTCTTTACCACTTTCTTACATGTTGAGATTTTGAGCTCACCATACTCAGATGAGTACTCACTTTGAGTGATGTGACTGGGACACTTTGGATGTCTCACAGAAGTGACTTTTACATACAATGAAGACAGCACGTTTTAGAGTTGAAACTGTCAGTCTTTCATCAATTAAGGAATTTCCAAAATACCTGGGAAATATCTAAGGATTTTTCAGGGAAGCATATTTGATCACTTGTCTGAGGATAAAATAAATACTTGCATCGCATAGCAACCTTCACTGTGCCTCTAACAGTGGAAGTTGTTCCTGTTGTGCACATGGCTTGCATTCTCCAACTTACTATCAGTTCCATTATACTATCAGTTCCATTATACCTGGAAGTTGGTTTGTGCCTTTTTACTAACAGAAATATGCCTGCAGATCCTTTAAAGTAGCAGAATTATGAAGCAGAAATGTGTGTGTATGTCTTGCATCATAAGATCACATCAGTCTAGCTGGTAGGAAGAATAAGTAAACACATGATTTAATCACAAAGCAGCTAGGCCTGTTCTAGGTGTTTTCCTAATTTTTTTTTTTCTTCTGTTTGATCAACTCTTTGTCACATTTGCTCAAACACAGTCATGTCCTCTAGGGACTGCAGGTCCCAGTGTTAGAGATGGGTAAGTCTTGCTATACCCTGTTCTTATATGTGCATTTGGAGCTGGATAGCCTATATTTTTATCCTTGCTTCCTGGAACAGTCTGCAGGGACTTCATCAAGTACCCATGGAAAATAATACTATTCTAATGATTGTAATCATTACTTGTTCTGATTAAAAAAAGAATCTGAATGTAAAGACTCTGTATCCTGCCTTCTGATAAAGATACAATGTAACACATGGTTATGTATTAGAGTAACTGCTATTGATCCACTAATGTTTGTATCTTATTTTTGTAGGTTTTTTTTTTTTCTTCTGCTATACTCTAGAGGGAAAACTCTCACCTTGCAATTTGATTATGAATTAAAAATTTGCTGATCACTGCAGAAAGTGATTGCTCCTTGATGAGATGTTCTATAGGTGTTCTGTTGACTATATTACCCTCTTTGCAGAGGCTGGTATATCAATTTTTTTTTGTAACCCCCGTATAAATCCTTTTTTTTAAAAAAAAGCAACAAAACAGCATTTCAAGAACTTCTGTAGTAATTTCCTTATACAGCATTCCAAGGAATGCCTTGGTTCTATTTCCACATATCTATTACGTGATCACAAAAGCTCTTAAGCTCCATACACTTGACTTTATTGCAAACTGAAAATGCATCTTAAGTTACCATCCTAGAGCTGCATTCAGGGTCATCCTAGCTCCCAGCTTTGCAAAAAAATCAAGTCTTCATTGTAAGGGGAAAGAAAATAGTTAGATGAATTGCAAATATGCAGTCAAAGCAGCAGCATAACAGATAAGAGATGTAGAAATGCAGTTTTGCTCACAAGCTAACTCCCAAAGTGAAAATTCCAGATGAGTCCATAAGTGCTGTGGAAGTTGTTCTTGTTGATGCCATGTGTACTGCTGCCTTACTCTATCTGTAGTGTTAACATCTGGATACACATAAGGATTACTGCAGAAGATGATGACTCATAATTCAGCCTGCTGTGTAATGAATATCTGGTTGGAAGAAATATTCTCTGTGCTGAAAAGATAAAATATTCTAGGTAAATCACTAGTAACACATTGACATTCATTCATATACTTGGGAAAGGAATATAAAGTAGTAGTCTGTACTACAGTTATTTGCTTTCAAATCACTGATTTTCTTCCCAATCAGTATTGCTATTCTGACTTTTCTGTTCAAAGTATACAATCTCTTTCCTTTATAAATTCTGAGATTCAGCTTTGATAGCAAAATTAGTCTTTATAATAAAGCTTGCCTGCTGGATGGAGATCTGCAGGAGTCACTGCACTTCCTCCACACTTGTATTAGTCCTTAACACTTGTGTGCAAAGTGTTACTTTCTGATCTCTGCATTTCCCACAGTATTTTGAAATCAGATTTTAAGTGTACTAGGAATACAGATTTTTTTTTTTATCTGCCTTTTTAGTTAATTAAACATCTTTTTAGATCAAGCTGCAGATTCTCACTGATCATGATGTACCCACTTCATCTCACTGCTATTATGGCTTTTCACCTGCCTGAATATCTTGTGTTATACAAAAATATGATCTCAATGAAGGATTTCGTGTTTCTGTAATCTTTATTAAAACACAATTTTATAGTCAACCCTTGTTTTTTTTTGGTTTTTTTTGGGGTTTTTTTTGGGTTTTTTTTGGTTTTTTTTTTTTTTGCTTGGAGGACATTGCAGATCCTCAAAACTATTTAACAGTGTAAGCCCTAAAAATGTACATTTCAATGTACATTTCAATAGTTTAACCTCCAATTTCTGCTTTCCCTGTCTGTGCAAAAAAAGCCTCTAGTCACTTCCACACCTGTTTCTGGAAGTGGCAGTCAGCCTCTTAGAAGGAGCTCTTTCATCTTTCCATAGAAATCCCTCCAGGGTTCCTATTTATGAATGTTATCTGCTCATCTGGTTCCTGAGTGTTAGATTTTAAGTTGTGAGTGTTTGACTGCCTCATATCTGACATAGTGCTCCATGATAACATGGTAGAACTCCTCTTCATTCATTCCTTCAGGTAAATTGATTTTGCTTGCTGTGGAGTATTATAAACAGCTGCATATCACATCTGACTCCATCTCTGAAAACCAGGCATATGAACGCTTGCAGCAATTGGACAGATCAGTGTGATGGAAAAAGGTGTTTTACCAGAGATATAATAACAGAAGGATTGGCACAATAGAAAGGTGCTATAAAGGAAAGGAAGAAAATTGCTTACCTGTATCAGAAGAGTCTCAGAAGATTCCAGGTTCACAGGGGAAAGCTCCACTAACAAGGGATCTCCAGAAAGAGATCCTTCCCCAGCAGCAGTCAGCCCTTAAATGGAGTCTCAGAGAGGTGCAGCCAGGCTCCACCCCTTCCGGTCACACAGCTGAATTGCCTTCACCTGTGCTCCCAGGGCTGACTGGGTCCTTTCCCCAAGTGTTCAATCAGTGGTTCAGGCTGTGGTTCAGCAGTACTATACAATACTTCACATAGGCCTATTGCCTCTAAGTGATCCTATACCGAATACAAAATCAGCTTCATATATTTTGTCATTTAATCAAAACTCTGTGTTCTAGATGAAAATATGGCTCTCTGTACAACCATAGCCTTTCACTTTTTTTCTCTAAAAATACTAAAGATGCTTTTTTGATAAGAAGAGGCTTTAAGATGGCACAAGATTTTTATTCTTTTTGTGTGTCATGAAAAGCTGAGTCGACCCCCTGCTAAAAGATCACCATGACCAGGAATATAAAAGTAAGTAACAAATTCCTCACTTGTCACACGTACATTTCTTTGTATATATCTATATACACCAATATAGATCTTCAGATAAACTAGATTATTTCGGAAGGAGGAGGGATGACAGAGAGAGTTACATTATCAGGACTGTGGAGATGTTAAATAGTGTAGGAAAATTTAGTGTCTTACCCAGCTATGCTTTCTTCTTTAGCATCAGCAGGAGCTGGAGTTGAAGTAGCCAGGTCTCTCCTGTATTTCCTGTGAGGAAGAAACAACAGCAAAGTTATTGTCAACTGAGGGTGATGTAAACTCAAACAGATTTCTAATCCCATAGCAAACTCCTTATTTTCTAAAAAGAGCAGCAAGCCAGAAATGTCAGGACACTATTGGGCTATTGCAATGCACTATCTGAAATCAGCTATATGAGTTGAACATATGTTCACTATTGAATTCTGTATTGTGTGGCAAAATCATTACAATTAAAAGTGAATGAGGAGAGCACAAAGCAGACATTATACGTACAGGCTGTGGTCAGTGCTACTGTGTACTGTTTCTGCCCTTTAGTTATCTCTGGCTTTACAAATATAGGGTTGACTATTTCATGTTTGATGTTAGCAGAGGTCCAGATAATCTTCTTTACCACTGTGAAGACTATCCATGACTGACCACAATCATAGTTATTTGGTCCATTTCCTTCCTGATTCCCAATGGCCTGATCAATTCCTTTAGTAGATATACCAGAACTGTGTTTAATTTTTTTTTTTTTAAAGAAGAAAAGTGCACTTCCAAAATTGGTACATATCACCTCTTTCATGAGGTTAAAACATCTTACGCCAAGCAACACAGCTAGATTCTTATGGTAGATGCAGAGTCTCCTCCTCTGCTCTGAAGTTTTTATCAGCCAAGCTTCAAGTAACAGATAAAGCTCTGTATTCACCTACTGAAGAAACAGAATATTACCATAGATTTGTGTCATTCATTTTGGCAAAAAGTAATCTCAGGACACGCTCTTTTTGTTCCCACGTCAACTCACTGATATCTACTTTTTTAAACTGGGTATTTTCCCTGAAAAACACAGAAAAGATCAATGGATTAGGAGAAAATGTCAAAGGCATTTCTCTCATACATTCTGTATGTGTAGAAAGTGTTTTAAAATCTATCTATACATTGTATTTGTTAAGCTATTCATAGTATGTAAGTTCAAAAGATAAATTTGTGTACTGTCTTTCTAATTTCTAAATCTGTGGCTGTCTAAATAAGTTGAATAAAAAAAAAAAATAAAAAAACCTTCTATTTCTGTTATACAGTTATTGATTATAGATACCAGGAGGAAGGAGGCTAGTACAGATAAGTATTAATTTCAAGTACATTGTCCTTTCCTTACTTTTTCATTGTTCACACACAGAAGAGTTAACATGTAACTGACTTTTATTATCAATTCCAGTCTTCCCCTTCTCTCTTTCCAAGGGAAATTTCCTTAGATCTCTGCTAGCTACTTTCCCCTCTGATTTTTAAATTGTTGGTACTTCTGTATCATTTCTGAGATAAGGTAAGCTGAATGATGCATTCTAATTGATTGCACATCAGTGAGTTACTCAATGGTTGGTGCATACTAAGCAAACATTTTATTTGGGAGTGGTATAATCGTGATCTCTCACCAAAGCTGGATGCAAACAGCTATTCTGGACCCTAATTCAATGGCTTAAAGGGCATAGATATTGCTGTAGTTTGTAGCAGGAGGTTAGAGATCTATAAAACTGGCCACTGTGGCATGTGTAGCCTCAATTTAAACTAAGCTGCATCCTAATACAAATTCTTGGATACTTATAAATCAGATTTTGGTTTATTTATTTATTTTCAAACATAATCCTGTCAATCAGTACTATAGTGCGTATGATCTTCATTCTGATCTCATTGTATATTTCATGCAATGGCTTGCTTTATAGATTATTGTGAAGCTTGAAGAAAACAAGCTTTGAAAATACAATGCAAAGCCAAGGGCCTCTGACAAATGAACAAACAGTTGAACAGAGAGTACTTGCCATCTACTGGTTGCTTCAGTTAAAACTGCCAGCAGCATACTAAGGAGCTATTAAGATTGTAACAATGTAATTTTTAGGCTTCAGTATTGGTAGGTAATTGTAGTGAGTGAAAAGAGCATTGTGAGAATGATGCCTATATAAGCCGTAAAGACCAGAGATGCAACAATAATTATTAAAAAGAAACTGTAGAAATACATCTATACTGAAAATTCAGTATTAACTTCCATAGCACATTGTAGAATATGAAAAGGTCTCTTTTGAGCCTGTATTCAATTTAATCCATTGAAATAATGACAGAAAATGTAATTAGGCACCCAGAAAGGCATTGTTAATTGACAGGATGTTACACCTCATAGTCATTCTCACTAAAGCAGCCTCCACAAGTATTCCAAATCTAGACGATATAATCACAAAGATTTTGGGGTTTTGTTGTATTTTTTAAAGGTACAGTAGGAAGATAGGCACTAGTTTTTGATGTTAAAATACCAGTAGCATTTCTCTGCTTCTTCTAGGTCTCTGTACACACTATTTGTGCTGTTCACGTTGCTATTAAATGTTTTGATTTTGGGAAATTCTTCTTTCCCTGCACATGCCTCCATCATTTTCCTGTAATAAACAGCTTGGGCCATTTCCTTATAGTGTTTTCTACTGGCTATGATCTCCCGCTTCACATGTTCCAGAGCATCCAGGAAGAACCTTTCCACTTCAGTCCTCTCATTTAAGATATTCCAAGCTAGTTTCTTCACTCGGTTCATCTCCTGATCCTTCATTTCTAGCAGGTACTGCAGTTTCTTGATCTCGACCATGCTAGCCTGGTTTTCTATCAGTGCCTGATGCTGTGTTTTTTGAGTCTTTGTCTCAGATTCTTTAGTCTTGTGACATAAGGCCATCTCCAGTTTTTCCACTTTATGTTGCAGATCTCCTATCTGTGCTTTCTGCTTGTTGATCTGTAGCATCTTTTTTCTAATCAAACTCTCAGTGATTTCCTGAAAGATTAGAAGAAGAAATTACTTGGGCTCTTGTTTCACACAAAATTTGGAGGTTTTTCTTTTCCCCCAGCAGTGACAGTGTAGTCAAGATGCTGGCACCTTCATACTGGAGAGTGAATATTTCTCTGGGATCAGTTTCTCGTTTGCAACAGAAGCCAGATGAAGGCATGATGAGTAGTGTGCACTACAGAAAGACCTATTCTTGGACTATTATGGGAAAACCTCCCTTCAGCCTCCTCCATCATTAAGATAGAATCAGAGCTCTTCTTTCTTCAGCCAATTCTGAATTCATAGCTGCAGATAGATCTGGCTGTGGAGAAGTTATTCTCAGTACACTTACATTTGTTTCCAGGACTTCAAGGACCCCTTCCTGGAGGGGAATGAAACAGAACTAAAACCAGAACAGAAACCTTTTCCTGTAAGAGAAGAATTTTATCCTCCTCTAACTTCTGTTTCATTTTCTGCAACTCCGTTGCCTCCTTCAGGTGGTAAGATGAAGCACCATGAAGATGAATGTTCTCTTTAAAAACCTGTCTCTCAATGCCATTCAGCTGCCTGGACAGAGTGAAACAAAATCCATGAACTTTAATCACAAACGTTCATACTTTTTTTTTAATATTAAAATCATTACTTCAGCATCCTAATTTCCAAATTAAGCCTCATAGTTTAAATGTGAGTGTTGCCATCATCTTGACATTTAAAATAGAAGCATCAGTCATCACTAATTTTGCCCTTCAAGGTCCATGCAGTAACATGGGCAAATAGTTCTTCAGAACACAGCACTAAAATGGTTTAGTAAAGTGGAAAGCAGAAAAGGCAAGAGTTTCTTACAAAACAGCTTCATGTCGAGCAGCCTCTCTTGTCATCATTAGCTTCTTCTCAGCATCTTCTTCTAGTCTTTTCTGAAAGACAGAAAAGCCTGTTTAAACTTTGCTTGAGGCCCTTGGAATTGAAGCTTAAAACCTGTTACAGTGTAAATTCTAAAATCCTACACAACTTTCAGTAGCACAACTTCTTACCAATAAAAAAAGAATGAACTTCCATGGGCACTTAAGTTCCTGATAGCAGTGGAGAATAATGCCTCTCTGGGACCATGGCATCCTATGCCTTTCCTTTGAAAACTGCACCTACCCTTCAACTCAGTCATCATACTTATATTGACATGGGGAACTGTAAAATGCTGAGAAAAGAGCTGTCAGAAATAAAGAAGCCAGAATAACCAGTGGGAGAAATCTTCTTTCTAATAAAAGTTTCTTTAATTGCCTGTCAGCTTTTACCTTCTCTTCAAGAAACTTCCTCTCCAGTCGCACAACCTCTTCCTGATGTCTCCTGTTTGAGATCTTGATATTCTTCTTTAACTGTGATAAAAAAAAAAAACAAAAACAAAAACTTTTGTAATAGCAGTGTTTTAATTTCAGCCTCATAATTAAAAAATGCAGAAGCAACTACTGAAGGAGGTACTTGGTACTCTTTCCTGGCACTACTCACAGTCCTCAACAAATCTTCCCACAGTCTCTAAAATTCATTTAAATCTGACTTTTGGTGCTGTTCTGCTTATTCTTCATAGTTCACTTTTGCCTGTATTTTCATATCAGTCAGTCATTCACACATATGATCTATCATTCTGTTTCATACTTAGTTTTAAGAATCTAGTTTGCCTATTCATTCAGTCATCAAGACTGAAATCCAACGCCTCAAGCATCCTTAGAAAAATGCATGACTAACTGTATTTAATGTCTTAGTTTAAAAGCAGCTATATATTAACAAACTAAATGCCACTGAGCAATCATTTTTCTCCATGGAAAGCATGTTGTTTTGTTTCTAAGACCTGCATTGAAGCTGGAAAAAAAATGAGGTGAGATAAGTCAGGAAGACAACTTAAGTTGTTTGAAGTGCCCACTGGATCTCCTCAGTCAGCTGAGATGCTTGCTATCTCAGCTGAAATGTTTCACAGTTAATACCACCACTTAATATGTGTAGTATAGATTCAAAACATGTACTAAATCCTCTACTGCATCCATATATGTGCTTGTATGATTCCACGTTGATTTTGTTAAAAATAAATAAATAAAAATTAAAAACAAGCAAGCAAACAAACAAAAAAAACCCAAAACACCGTACAGCAGATGCGATTTCTGGCTATAGAATTTGCCTTTTACAAACTTAGTGTTTTTCCTCAGACTCTGTAAACTGTGCTGAAAGAAAACAGTCTAGTAGATCAGTTGTGACTGTTCTCCACCCCCAAACTCTGTTACCACAAAGCAAGAAAGGTTGCTTTTTCAGTAAGTGTTACTACCCATCTTTATGACAAACTTACATCTTCCAGCTCTTTCTCCATAGCTGCTTTCTCCCTGCGGAATTCCTTTATTAAATTCAATTCTACTTGAATTTGGCTGATTTCTCCAACTTTTTTCCGAAATTTCTCTTCCAATTCTTTTATTTGTTGGGTATAATAGTCTTCCTGCAATTCAGAAATAATCAGTAAGAAGGAAACAAAAATGAGAGAAGCCAACCATCAAATCTTGTAACATAAAACACAGAGCACACACTACTGAATACCTGAAATCACAATGAACTGCAGTGTTTTGAAAAATAAGGAATACAAAGAATTCATCATGAGCAGAAATCCTGCAAACTCAGCAGAAGCTACCAACCCTCTAATGAAATAAAAACCCTAGAAATGACTAGTAAGTGTAAAACAGCATTTGGAACATCAGTCATATCCTTTTCTGTTCTTTAGTATCTGAGGATGGGAGAAATGTTGTGGAGTCTTCTTCACAGCAGATGCTGTCTTAAAGTGGAGATGAGCACAGTTCTATGTTTCTTACTGAAGTCAGGCTGTTAATGAACAATAATTTTCTTAGTTCTTTCTATGAATTTTTGCTTCAATAGAAACGAATGAACGAGAAATATAGAAGAATTCAAATTAATTATTTGTTAACTCAACAAAAATGAAACATGTTTTTGCTGGTCTCTGGCTTCACCATTACCCAGCTGGTTCTTAACACTATTTCAGATACTATAAAGTATTCACAGAATCACAGAATGGCCAGGGTTGGAAGGGACCTCAAGGATCATGAATCTCCAACCCCCCTGCCACATGCACCCCCCAACCTCCACATTTAACACGAGACCAGGCTGCCCAGGGCCCCATCCAATCTGGCCTTGAACACTTCCAGGGACGGGGCATCCACAGTCTCTCTGGGCAGCCTGTTCCAGTACCTCACCACTCTCTCTGTAAAGAACTTCCCCCTGACATCCAACCTAAATCTTCCCTCCCTCAACTTGAAACCATTTCCCCTTGTCCTGCAGTTATCTACCCTTTCAAAAAGTTGATTCCCCTCCCCTCTGTAGGCTCCCTTTAGGTACTGAAATGCTGCAATGAGGTCACCCCGCAGCCTTCTTTTCTCCAGGCTGAACAAGCCCAGCTCCCTCAGCCTGTCTTCACAGGGGAGGTGCTCCAGTCCCCTAATAATTTTTGTGGTTCTCCTCTGGACCCTCTCCAACAACTCTGTCTTTGTTATGCTGGGGGCTCCAGACCTAGACACACTACTGGTGTCTCACAAGAGCAGAGTGGAGAAGGACAATCGCCTCCCTGTCCCTGCTGGCCACCCCTCTTCTGATGGAGCCTGGGATACCATTTGCTTTCTAAGCTGCAAGAGGACACTGCTGGCTCATGTTCAGTTTTTCATCCATCAGGACTCCCAGGTCCTGCTCTACAAGGCTGATCCTATTATCCAAATAATAGGGTATTCCTATTATCCAAAATAATACAAGAGAGTCACAAGGTAATTCCCACATCACCATTCTTTTCTTCAAGTTCTTTTCCACTCAATATTCTTGCAGAGTTTGCTGCCCTAACTTATTCCTCACACTAAAATCAGAACTACTGTTCAGCCTGTTCAGTGGATCCCATTGTTCTGAGGACAAAAAGTTCATTCACCAGTTTTCTGTTCTCTTCTTGTGTTCGCTCTTTCAAATCAATCAGCTCCTTCTTCAGTTTCTCAGTCTGTGAAAATAGAAATCAAGAAATGTTACTTGAGGGGGGAAGGGAGAAAGGAGTTGTCTGAGCTGTGTTCTTCTCTTTAAAATCAGTTATGAGAAGACATGAAAAGAGAAAGGTCCTCATTTGCAGTGTTCAGGCTGATTGAAGCATACTTAAAACTGGAGAGTGAAAGAACCACCCTTGGTTTGTGCTAAGCATGGGAAACAGTGCAAGCCTGAACAATAAAAACCCACCTGTACTAGACAGAAAGAGTTCTGTGAGCCTGCTGAAGAATTAAAACTACATGGATGGAGGATTTTCTTCCTTATTGTTTTGGGCAGTGGTGCAGCACTGAGAAGCAGTTCAAAAAAGGGGGTAAAGCAGCTGGAAAAGGGATGAGTAAGAGCTACTACTCATGACAGCTACAAAAAAAAGGATGGGGTGTAATCAGGAGCATTGTCTCCTGCCCTTTAACCCCATCAGTGTTCTGGGGATTGATGATTTGTGCCTTCTCATTCAATAAACAGAATTTTTAAATCATTTATGAGTTCTGCTCCAAAAGTAATGCCTCCTATTTTTATGTTATTGACCCACGAGGTCAGACGTGGATGTTGGTGGTATGGCAGTAGAGGTTGAACCTTCCCAGCAATATTCTGCTCCATGTTGTTGCCACGCAACAGATGGCAGCAGAGGGGCAGTCTGACAGATCGGTGCCTGACACAGAAGGGCGGATGGAGCAAAAGTGTGCCATTTTTTCCTCCATGCAGAAAAAATGGCACCCATCGACACTGGCATTCATCGACCTTTGCTGAATAGAGACCAACCAGTGGATGCAAGCACTGCAAGGTGCGGGGGGTGCCTTTCGGCAGTGGCAACGGTGACAGCGTGTCACCTCCGCTGGCGCAGATGTTTAGGAGCGTGGCACGCAGGCCCTCGTTCACGGCTGGCGAAAATGCATAGCTAGTGGTAGTGGCTACGTTGAAAAATGGTGTTTTGTAGCTGAGAATTTGCCGTATCAAATAGCGTAATTCTGCTCTTCGTAGCTGTTTGTAGTTTGGAAATGGAAATATACATGGAAATATACAGGAGGCATTAGTTTCGGAGCGAGCTACGTAGTTTCAGCTCGTTTCGGAGGTGCCGCTGCCCTCGGCACTCGGACTCGGGGCGGCACTGAGGCTCCCTCCCCGGCAGCCCGGCTCGCACCTCCGCCGCCCTCTCCCGGCCCTGCTCCGTGAGCAGCGCCAGCACGGCCGCCGCCTCCCTCTCCGAGCGCCGCTGCCGGCACAGCAGCTCGGCGTTGCGCCGGGCCAGCAGCCGGGCGGCCTCGCGGTACTGGGCCCGGCCCGCTTCGGCTTCCGCCAGCCGCGCCTCCCACGGCGGAGCCCGCCCGCCCTCCATTCCGCGGCTTCCGTTACCGCCCGCTGCCGTGGAAACCGGGCGGCGACGTGCAACCCCCGCGCCGGGCGGCGCGCTGCGTGACGCGCGGTACCGGCGGGATGTGGCGCCGGCGGCGCTCCGAGCTGCCGGTGAGCGCGGGGCGGCGGGCGGGCGAGCGGGGGGGGGACGGCCCCGCGTCGCCATGGGAACCGCGTCCGGCCCCGCCGTGTCGGCTCCGCGCTGCCCGCTGACGGGGCCGGGCCGCGCGGGACGGGCGCTGGCTGTGGCGCTGCCTTCGCGCCAGCGCCGTTACCCGCGGGGGCCGGCGCTCCTGAGGGAGCGGTCGGTGCGGGAGCTGCCGGCGGCGCCCCGGGGGCTGCGCGGTCGGCGTCGAGTGCGCAGCCCGGTGCCGCGCCGCTACGGCGGGTCAATGTTTGACTAACGTCCAACTCGGTTAACTTTCAACTTCTCGAAAGGGTCCCCCGCGCCTATCCGAGCGTGTTTCGCCGCTCCTATCGAGTAATGATAAACTCGAGCCCGCGCCCCGCTGACCCGCCTGACGCAGCGCCCGCGGCCCGCAGCGGAACGCCGCGCTGAAGGACGGCGGTGCGGCGGGAGCCGGCAGGGGAGCGGCGCCCCTCTGCAGGTGCGTGCCGGGCGGGCTGCGACAGCTTGGCACCGCGCGCCGTGCCGTCCGGCTGCTCGCGTGCGTGAACCTGCACTCGCGCTCCTGTGCTCCGCTTGCTTTCTCCCGGCTGTTTGTTCGTCGTGTCATCAGGGAAGTTCTTTACAGAGAGAGTGGTGAGGTGCTGGAACAGGCTGCCCAGAGAGGTTGTGGATGCCCCGTCCCTGGAGGTGTTCAAGGCCAGGTTGGATGGGGCCCTGGGCAGCCTGGTCTAATATTAAATGGGGAGGTTGGTGGCCCTGCATGTGGCAGGGGGGTTGGAGATTCATGACCCTTGAGGTCCCTTCCAACCCTGGCCATTCTGTGATTCTGTGATCTGTCCTGCTGTGCTCTGGTGGCGGCGAGGATTTTACCTTGGTGGAGAGAAACTCTTTTGGAAACAGTGTTTTTCTTTCTCAGTGGCTGATCCCCTCCCTCCCGCCTACCTCTACCCTAAGACGCTCCATCCATCCTTTCTTCTGACCCCCTGTCCAAATTCCTCTTTCACTGGCATTTCTGTTATTCCCTGCCATCTCCCTCTGCTGGCGCTGCCCTCGTGCTCTCCTTGCTCATCTCTGCTTCTGGTGGGTGCCGGCGTGCACATGGTTAGAAGGTCAGGACTGCTCATCAGAGAGACTCCGTGTTCTTTTCTCTTTTACGGCGAGGGAGGAGGTCCTGAGGTGCTGTTGTGGGATTTTCTGTGGGTGGGAGGGGGGACCTTAGATGGACGAAGGTGGAAAGAAAGAGAGAAGCCAGGGGAGAGGTGGAGAATGGGAAGTGTGAGATGGTGCCGGATGGCTGAGAAGGGCCGCAGAAGAGGCATGTTGTACAGGAGCAGTTTAGGGGAGGCCAGGGCTCATCAGTCAGGAGAGCTGGCAAGAAGAGCATGTGTTAATGGCAGTTGGTCAGATATTTTCGGATCAACTGAGATCATGTGGCTTATGTAAGTGTCACGTGTGCTGCCTGTAACAAGACCCTGGGGTTTGTTCTCAAGGCAGGTGCTCAGTTTTAGCTGTGGTTGTTTAGTAAACAACATACTTGTGTTGTACAACAACACCTCTCCTGAACAGCTTCACCTTCTGGTCTGTCAGAGAGGGATGGCCGGCCTGTTCGTTGTGGAATCATAAAATCTCTTCTCAGAACATGTTTGTAAGGCAGAGGGGATCCTGTGCAATCAAATAAAGGTCACAGAAGATAAGCAAGGTTCCCCTTGTGTAACAGGCTGAGCTCTGTGTTTGCTCTGGAGATAGCTGAGTGCTTGAATGAGTTGGAAAGGCGTTCAAAGAATGACTCAGCGTGATGTGGTTAGTGACAATGGGTAAAAGTTAATCTCCTTCTGCTGTAATTACAAACAAAGGTTGAAATAATGGAAGGTGTATAAGGGTTGAATGTGGGAGGGAAGGATGAGTGAGTTCTCTGGGCATAGGTGAAAGGTATAGGGAAATAGAAGCTATGTCAAATTCACGTAGAAAGGGAAGAAGAGAGGTTAGGGATTGGAAGGGGTAAGTATAGGATAGAGGTTGCAGATAAAGATTTAGAGAGGCTGAGAAAGTGGGGCTGAACGGATCACTAAAACACAATTGAATGCTAGCAGTAGAAGCATATGAGGGCTTGAACAGAGCAGATGAGCAGGTGTATGGTGCAGAACATTCAGTGCTGTGAGCAAATGGGTGTGTAAGCACATGTCTGGGGGATGCTGGGCTACGTGCAGCTTCTGTGTGTGAGCATGTCAATACAGGTGATACTGCACAAGGTAGGATATCTGGCCACATGCTCATTTCTGCTGTTCAAAAGTGAACAACAAAGATAGCTACATATTCTCCTTCTCTTTAACCAGATGCCGTTATGAAGCCAACCCCTTCTGTGCCTGTATCTTTTCCTTATTAGCGTTTCTTAGTAAAGAACTTATGCAAAGAAATGCACATGAACAGAAAGGAGATATAGTTGTTGTATCTGGATATCCAGTACTGAGTCTCTTGATTTCACCCAAGGGCCTTGGCTTACTAGAAGCTGATGTTAGGAGCTGTGTAAGCAACCTGAGTGTTTGGAATGACTGGGCCACTGGAAAACTATGCTGTTTTGGTTTTGTTTTCTCATTCTGAGAATGAAAACTCTCAGGAGGAAAGGGTGAAGAAACAAAATGAAGGGAGAAGAAAGGTACCGAGAGGCAGAGCCCAGGCGCGCATCACAGTTTGGTCCCTCTTGAGCAGCACAGGAGCCCTTGGGGGCCAGGATGCTGCCTTCACTCTGTGCACTGATCTTTCCCAGCAGCTGCTCAGAGCCAGAAATGAAATTCTCTTTCTCTGAATAACACTTGTGTTTTGCCACAGCATCTCATGCATATAAATATCAGGGCAAAGTGGCTCTGCCTTGAGCTCCCCTTTGATGGTGCTTCTATTCAGATAGTATTTGGACTTCCTGGAGTTTCTGGGAGCTGTAAAACTTGAGACTTTTAAAGCCAAAGCGGAGAAAAAAATGCCCAAATAAAGTAAAAGCTAGAAATACTGGGGAAAACATCGTACTTGAACTCTTCTGCATTTGGGAAATGGAGAAATCTTTACTGTGAAAGAACAAAACACTTAGATGCAGTTCTAGCATCAAAATGCAGTAAACAATAACTTGTGGATGAGGTGCTGAAAATCTATTTTCTATCCAAAGGGCAGAATATTTGTGTACAGGCAGAACTTCTACAGACTTGGTGAGGAGAGGGCTCCTAGTAACTTTCCTTCCTATTTGTTTTTCCCTACAGGATCTACACCAGCTCTATGACTGTTGACCCACGCTTAACTGCCTCAAGTGATCCTGGCAGGATGACATCTTCCAGACTCCCTATCCTTCTAGCACTGGTCTTTTCTTCTTTGTTCCCTGTTTTTTCCCATTCAAACAGGGAGATGTGGTTTCAGGATCTCTTTCCACCCAACACGTGCCCTATAAATGCCAAGACTTTTTATGGCATAATGTTTGATGCAGGAAGCACTGGAACCCGGATCCACATTTATACCTTTGTGCAGAAGAGCCCAGGTAAGACCCTGTGTCAGTCTGTGCACCTGCCATATGTTGACTCAGGTTCTGTTTTCACATGAGAGGATTTTGTTTGCACCAATACGGAATTTGGGACCAATTGATTTCTCCTGTATATCCTTCAGGTCATGCTCTGGGGTGTTATTGATTGCCATTTATGGTGGTGTTTCACTGTGAAAAGTTCTTTCTTGCACATCTTGAGAAACCCAGAGGTTTCTTTCTGGGTACATTGGAGAGTTCTGAATTTCTGAAGATTTTCACCTGCACAGTTGTTTAAAGGAATGTCCCATTGAATTGGGAAGAGGCTTATATTGTCCTTTGTCAAGTTGCCTGTTACCTGGAATCATATCAACAAATATTTACATTCTGTATACGTAACATTTTATATCAAAATGAAATCAGTACATTAAAGAGTTATAACCATCTAGGCAGTTTCCAGAACTGTAAGCACATGCAGCACACTGCAGAATATCTACACCTGACATGGTATGGAGGTACCCAGCTTGGCTGCACATTAAACAGGATTCGAGAGGGTGAATTAGCTTGTGTACTGTGAACCAGCAAATTTGCAAAGGTTAAAGGCTAATAAGCCCTTCAGGACCGCATGTAGTACCTGTGTGGCTTCACATGATTTCAGCATTCTTTGGGAAGGGCTGGGGCAACGTCCAACTCTTATAGATGATATGCAATACTGAGACATACATGGTAGAGCCAAGCTGCTCTGGGAGCAATGGTCAGATTTGTTTGGCTTTGCAGCCAAGTGCCTGGGGCCAGTCAGCTCTGTTCAGCATTCCCTGTGTTTATGAATGGGATGAATCACCTAAGAATAATCAGGAGCTGACTGTATGTGCCTTAATATGAATTAATATTTCACACTTAGCTTGGGGACAAGAAGGGAAAGAAATTTCGTTAAGATTAGGCAACAGTCATGCTACATTGCTACAACTTGTGGCTTACAAATGCATAATGAACAAACATCCTTCTAATTATAATATGATCATAATAAATTGTTGATGAACTTGGAGGACACAAGGGCAATGTTCTGTTAAGTATGTTTCTGAAATGAAGGAGCAGTGTATTTTCGGGGATTTATTATTTGCAAAGGGAATCAAGGAGAGTCTCTTTAATAGTGTTTCAGACAACCTTTCGGAAGCTAAATATATATATATATACATATATTTGAATTGTTGATTGTTTCATGTAATGTTTCATTTGTGCAGAAATTCTTCCAGAGTTGGAAGGGGAAATATTTGAGTCTGTGAAGCCAGGTCTTTCTGCCTATGCTGATCAGCCTGAAAAGGTAAGGCTCTCCTTCATTCCCCATCAGTTGATCTTCTTTCTACTAATATCAGTTGCATTCTACCAAGCAGTTCAAATATTGCTAATTGCAATGCAGGGAGTCAAGAAAAATGTAAAGGTTCTACTACTGGCTGTCCAAACCCGTTGCTCTACTTTTGTGAGTTAATTTCCACACAGTAAAATGGAAGCTATTACTTCATGTATTTCATCAGTGCAACAATGGCTTAATTAATTGCTTAAATGCTATATCTAACTAGATCATATGCCTTTGAGAATATTTCATCACAGTTGTAGCTGAGTAATGATTTTGGTATAGGCAATTCTGTTCTACTGACTCTGAACTTTTTTTTTTTTTTTTTATTAATGTATGGAGTTTTTAAAAAATAAAGCTGGGCAGTTCCATAATGTACAATCAGATATGTTAATCAGTACTTTTAGAATTGCAATAAGAAATTGAAGTTAGGTGCAGCCCTCTTTATTTTCAAATGCATATGGTTGCGAATTCATGTGTGGTGCGCTTCTTTCAGGCCACTCTGATCAGGAGTCAGAAATGAGCAGCAGGGCAAAGACAGCTAAAGGAATCATGCTGATACAAAGAGCCAGTCTTGAACTGAGCTGCCATTTTCCAGACCCCTTCTGCTGACAGCAAGCTCATTCACAAGCTAACAGAGGTGCCAGGCAAATGATATATTAGATCCTGTGCCTTGCCTGCTTTAGCAGTCCTGGAGTTAGGGCTACCTTAGGAGGAGCTTCAGATTTCTCAGTGTGCTCAGCTGCATTCAGTGCTGCAAAAATTTTAGTGTGAAACTCTGGGGAAGAGCAGATGGCTCTTTTTTAAAACTTTGATGAGTTCTCTTGTGATTTCACTAAATTGTCTTGTTTATTGGGTAGGAGAAGAGAAAAATCATCACCGAGACATTTCTAGAAATTTCACAGGAGAATGCTTATTGCTAATGCCAAACCATAATTGTTAGAGCAGTGTTGAGAGCCAATAGTTGAGAGCCCAGCAGTGATATCTGTGCCTCATGCGGTAACCACTCTACAGCTGTCACTGTAATTAGGCTACTTCATATGGACTCATTTGGAATTCTTATGTGCATTTACTGAAATCCACAGACGTCCCCCCATGACCTTTGCAGTTTCAGTAAGTAATTGCACCACTTAGTTTTATCATACTACAAGATGCCTAGATACTCAGTTCCCTTGCTTCCCTCCATCTTTTCCAAAAATACTTTCCACAAACAATGAAATTTAATTCTGTCTCCTAGGATATAACTCTGAATGTATCTGACCTTCCATGCAGGTATTCCTTTAAGGTTTGTATGAGATGCCTAGCACAGTTTTTGTGCTTCTTTTAGGCGTGGATATTTTCTGCTATTGAATACCAGTTTCACTAGTTTTGAGGAGTTAGGAGGTGCATTTTCTGTAGGAAAATTGTAAGAAATACAATTTCTTCCTTTAAGGGTGCTGAATCCGTCAAAAGATTGCTGGACATGGCCATAGATGCTGTGCCACCTCATCTCTGGAAGAAGACTCCAGTAGTGTTAAAAGCCACAGCTGGACTGCGCTTACTGTCAGAGGAGAAAGCTCAAGCTCTACTTTCTGAGGTAATACTAACATCTTTTGGATACAATACTATCGTTCTGTTTCATCTTTCCTGGCTCAGTTCTCCAGTCTGTTGCCATCCACGAATTTCAGCTGTGAAAAGTAACTGGTATCCCACAGTAGCATGAAACTCACAGACTTCACAGATTTTCTTGCATGATCCTGAAATCCTCTGTCCTGGTGTGGATAGAAGGCTCTGGGAGAGAGACTTTGGATACGTCTCTTCCTTTACTGGCTCTTAAAAGAGGAAGAATTTTGTTTATCACGCACTCTTGACTTTTTTTCTACTGCAGTGAAAAGGAAAGCTTTTCTCTGTCATTGTCAGAGCAGAGCAAGACTGTTCAGACCAAGGAACTGACTCATTTTCTCTTTCTTCAGGTGAAAGAAGTCTTTGAGGAGTCACCATTCCTTGTTCCAGAAGATAGTGTTAGCATCATGGATGGGTCTTATGAAGGTGTGTTTTAGAAGGAAGAAAAACTGAAAGCAAAGAGGAATGGGAGGGAAAGCAGGAATGAGTGAATTTGAAGGGGAAATGCTCACCTAAACTGAGGGAAGGAAGAAAAAGATTTGTAGCCTTGTTTGTAACCTAAATAAGTAATGTGAAAATAAATAAATAAATCAGATTGGAAAAGTGCAGCTAGTTAAGTAACAAAGGAAGTAACTTAAAATACAAGAAAATATGTAGGCTTGGAGTTAGTGACTATTTAAAAATCATTTTGCAGTGCAGAACAAACCAATGATGCATTTTGGCTACATATCGTTGGAGATCAGGCAGGTAATCCTGTATGGATGTCTGATAAAAGCCATCCATGATGTTATGTTCAATTCTGAACATTTCATTATGGTGAATTTTCAGAAGTTGTTCAGGGAAGGCAGAAAGAATTATCACGAAGCTTAAGCAACCAATTCATGGAGGAAGATTAAAGAGCAAAATCTGTTCATGGGGGCCAAGAGAAAAAGAGAAAAAACATAAAGTTCTACAAGTGTTCGATGAAGCACAGTGCAACACACAGTGTGCCACTAGGATTAACAGATGAAGTGTTTGTCAAGGAGAAGTGTGGTATTCACAGGGAGCAGTACCAGTGGGGCATAACAGAACACAGTGTAGTGTCAGTTCTGCCAAGTTCTGTTTTAAAACCCACCTCTTCTACTGTCACATTTGCCTTTGTTTGGGTGATAATCATGCCATCATCAAGCCAGCTGCTGGAGTCCAAGAGCAGCTGTTAGCATTTTAGTGGTTGCTACTGTGTGACTTTTCTGTATGCTACAGTTGCATACCTGCTACAAATGTTCTTTCTATCCTATTCAATTAACTTTTAATACATCAATAATGTGTAATATTAACTGATTTGTAAGTTTGAATTAATGTCTAAAATATTAGAGAGATTACATTACATTACCTGGAAATCATTACTAAGTAAATAGTGTGGAGTGGTGGTAAGAGTGGGCAGGAGGTCATGGGAGTATTCAGTGGTGACTTTTTTTTTTTTTTTCCTTTTTCACTCTTTGCAGGAATTTTAGCCTGGATCACTGTGAACTTTTTGACAGGTAGCTAATTCTGTGTAATTTCTCTTTAAATTCGAACTTGAGTTTCTTCTGCAGAGATGATCTCTCTGTGCGTTCCTCTGCCTTGGTTGCTGTACCTTCCTTTTCCTACCCACTGTGGCAACAATGCTAAGGCAGTGGATTGACTTGGGCAGACTCTGTCCCAGAGGCTGAGTCCCACTTGTAGCAAGAAGGCGGCATCTTGATCCAGAAGGTGCCAGGATTTACCCAGAACTGGGAGGCACTGGCAAGCTGTAATGTAATGTATATCGGGGCATGGTACCACTAACCTGTTAGAAGATGGGAAACAGGGTGTTACGCTATTCTTCATCTCACTTGGAACTGTGCAATGAACGTGATGCAACAGCATGCATTAGCCATACATGCTCTGATAAGTTCTGAGAGTGCAATCTAGCAAAGAGAAAATAAAATCAGTGTTCTAGTAGAAATGAGTAAACAAACAAAGAAAAAAAATTAAAAATTGCTGTTCTGGGTGAAGAGGAATGATAACACTTTGTTCTGCTCTTTCTACATGTCCTTATTCTCCTACTGTTCTTGATGAGTACCTATGGTAATTACAGAATTTATGCACTCTCCCTGACAAACTTCTACAGGGGATACTATGTCTCTTTCTTTCAGCTTTTCATGTATATCCAAACATTCATCTGCTTTTGTCTCTTAGGATGTGAAATTTGAGTCAGAGAAGAAATTTTCTCAATACCTTCTTTATGACAACATTTCTCTGTGATGGCTTTTGTCTTTGAAGGCCCCCTCAGCCTTCCTGTATTGCTATGATGTGGAAATTTGTTGGTTGCCTGAGCATACATGCAGTATCTGCATTATAGCATTTTGCCACTTCAAGCTGTTCTGAACATGATGTGGTTTGCAGGGCAGCTGGCTGGCCATAACCAGCACACTACTGGGACCCTGGACTTGGGAGGAGCCTCAACCCAGATCACGTTTCTGCCACGGTTTGAGGTGAGGAGTGGCTGTAAGCATACGAGTTGAGATCACAATGCCAGTGGGAAGACCTGGGCACAGCTGGGCTCTGTGCTCTCATTTTGTCAGTTCTGGCACAAGCAGAACATCTCTGATGTACTGAACATCTGCACAGCCTTTCCCTTTGACATCAGCAGTTGGCTGATAGGCGCTTGCAAACAAAGGAGCCTGGATAAGTAGGCAGGAAAAAGAAAGAAAGCAAATGTGTAAAATCAAAGAGAATTAGCCTTTGTTTTCTAGACTTAGGCTGGAAAATCCCCATGAATGTAGACAATTACTTTGTATTTGATAAATATAGCATATTTTTAGGGAATATTCTTACATATAACAGCAAATTAGGGACTTCTGAGTTATCATTTTTTTCCATTCCAGTCTGATAGCAGATCCTCACTAAATATGGCAGGGTGGGGTTGTTGTCTAATGGAGCAAATGTTTTTATTTCTAATAGCACAGCTACTCCCTCTTTGTTTACTTACCCATTCCTTCTCATTTCCTGGAGAATTCTTGTCCCTTGTGGGGAATCTCCCCATCTCTGCTGAATTTTTCAGAAATTCTGTATCTTTTTAGAAAGTCTGAATTGGGGCCCAAGTATGAAGATTGCATAGGAAAATTACATGGATGTTAAACAGTGGAAAGATGCTACAGCATTCAGTACCTCCATACTGCCAGGTTGTTTTTGTCCCTCTTGCTATTTCTGAGGTAGTTTAACATATTTTGCTTACAAGAATGGAAATTCTCTAACAGGTGTTTGGGGACCACTAAACACGTGGTTTTCATATCAGAATATTTGAGTTCTGTCATGGTGGGTCATGTTGAAACCTGATGTGCAACTTTATCATGTTCTGCAGAGCCTCAAATACTCTGGGCTTGCCCTCTGTTTTGTGCTGATAACACCTGCTGAACTGGGCATTGGACCAACAGGAAAGGGTGTTATGTGTCAGGGTTTTAGAGACTAAATAGAGCTTTAAAGGAGGCTGGACTGCAGCTCAGGATTCAAACTTCTCCTTATGGCTTTGCAGGAAAAGACCTTGAAGGTTTGCTACTGACGAGGACCAACAGTATGAATAGTAGAGCAGTTTGAAGTAAGGGTTCATATATCCTGCTTCCCTGCTTTTATGCTATGCCTGCTGCAAGCCTGTGTTATCAATTTCACACCAAAAACCACATATATAGCTCAGGATGCTTCTGAAAAATTCTGCCCATGTGACAGAATTTTGTCCCTTGATTTGCAGTGTTTTTTTTCCTCCTATAACCTGAGGCAGTTGCATATTTGCTTTCATATTATTTTTTTTAAGAAACAACACTGTAATACTAGGAGATTCATTCATGAAATACAGATTTGCAAGCAAATAGAAGATGTAGAATGGTAACTGCAAAGAGCTATTTTAACACTGTTAGGCTTTTCACGATTTGGCTGTTGCCACAGTTATAAGCAACTAAAATTCAACCATAATAATTATGAAATTGTCTGTCTAGTGCCTGCCTCACCTGGGACTGTGTGAAGAATTCTACATTTTCGTGAAGGCAAGGGACAGGAAAACAGTTGTTTTCCCCAGTCAATTTTTTTTTCAGGACTCTCCTTTTTAAAAGTTATTGTGACATAAAATTTAGGAACAGAATTCAAAATATGGTGGGGTCAAGGGTCACCGCCACCCCTACACAAATCTACCCAATACCAAAACCAAACCAGTCTATATTTGTTCAGGAGAGACTTAAGCTAAATACTGCTGAACCTCTTTCAGTGTCAGGCAGGCTGCCCTCCAGGACTCTGTAATTGCAGATCTGTCTTTTGCTCTGTCTGGTTACTGGAACTGCAGCAGTGTCTCTGAAAGTTCAGTCCTCTGAGATTCTGCTGTTTGGCCCAGTGCAGCAGTGTCTGATATGAAGGCATGGAGCCAAGAAGGGATGGGAGGATGAGGTTAGAGGAAGCAGAGGAAAGGTTAAGGCCTCAGGGACTGGAAACAGAAAGGAACAGTAAATGAGTCCAAAACAGGTTCAGATTTACAAGAATGAGAGTCATTGTGGCAAGGAAATAGAGACTGAGTATCAGTGGGGCAAACGGGCACAGAGAGCGAACACTGAATGGAAGAAGACAAAGTAGTGAGGTGAGAGCTGAAGGTAGATGGAAGCACTTAAATCAGGAGATAAAGAAGCCCAAAGGCTGAGAGTGAATGTTCACAGTGTTTCTTTGACCATCAGGAAATAATTTAACTTGGGAAAAATCTGGTCTATACTTTAATTGGCATTTTTAGATTCTTCTCTGTGCTTGAATTAAGATCTCTAGTCTGGCATGGAAAAGTTCATAGTGCTTCAAGTGCAGCTGATTTCAGTGGGGATTCTGTGTGTATATATAGGCAAGCATACAAGTACTCTGAAAAACTAAGTGAATGATAGAGTATTTTCATCCTGATCTGTTTTGCTTCCCTATTATACACTGCATAACACAAAGATGCAAATAAATAAACTCAATGTTAAATATTGCAAGCATTACAGCAACGGGCACCATTGGAAAACTTTTTTTTTGTTTTCAAAGGGCATATCTGTGATATTATATCAGTTATTTATTTTTTGTTGCATAATTACAACTAAAAGTTTTCTTCTTTTACTTAATTTTTAGGAAACCTTGAAGGAAAGCCCTAGGGATTTTCTTACCTCATTTGAAATGTTTAACAGCACCTACAAGCTCTATACTCACAGGTGAGGAGCAAAAAGGCTGCTGGCTCTAGTTGTGGAATCAATCTCTCTGCAGCCTCTGAGACCAGAAATGTTTGTGTTGTCCTGTTGCCAGCTGTTGGGACTATGATTTATTCACTACATTTTTTTACCTGTTTGAAACATTAGTTGAACTGAAACATGACAGTAGGCTGGAAATACTCCAGGTTATTATCACTGCAAAGTAATAATAGTCCATCAAAGGAAAAGGAAGCATCATGAGTACTCTGTTTAAGAATTTTTATTATTTGGTTTAAGCCAAATATCCTGGAACAAACAGAATGGTAGATGTTGTGCCAGCAGTCAGAATTAAATTAAATTAATTACATTCCTAGTTCTCAATTCCAAATAGCCCATCTCTTTAGTAACTGGATAAAAAGTAAAACTTAGACTGACGTAAACCAATGAGACAGCTAATACACAACATGGAGCACAGACTCTTGAGCCAGCTAGGGGGATTCTTGGCCTGAAAGAATGTAATTGTGCTTACTGAATTAAGCAGTTATCTGACATGTCTGCAGTGATACCCAGATTTTCCCTTCATTATTTATATAGAACTCAACCATGCACGATAGAGTTTGTCTCAGCCCACAACTACTGGGGTGAAGAACATAATTTCAGTTAACTGCATATGTTTACTTGACAGCAAAGCTGGTTTAATTGTCCTCCTCTCACACTACTTGAATTTATGAAAGTAACTGATTGCTGTATTTACCAATAAATTGTATCACTTGAAATAATTAGGATTTAAAATAATCTCATAAAAATGAGGAAGACAGAGATTAAATTAACCCTGGTTATTATGTAAAAACTTGCATTAACATTGCTAAAGGGATAGGTAGTCAAAGACAAATGGAAATGAAAGGCTAGCTGCATTGTTAAAGCCAGGAACATGATATTCTTATAAGTGTTGTTCACAATCCTAGCTTGCAGAATAGTGGTATTATGTGTAGCCAAACAGAGGCGAACTTCATAGAAAAACACATCTTCATTATAGTGAGACATTCTGCAATTTTGTTAGTTCTGTTAAGAGCACAGTCTTATGCATATAATGTAGGAATGGCCATACTATTCCCCTGCACTCCTCACATAACTTTATTTATCCCTGGTTTTTAAGACTAATGCATTTTTACATTTCAAATAATGTCCTGTAGAAATGTCACACCAACTCTAACCACTTTCTGCTGTTTTAGATTTACTGTCTTACAGCATAATGTGCCTTGGCATCTGTAATTTTGGGACTTGGAGCTGCTCAGGCAAAGAGAACTCTCTATTTCCTTTGTATAGAAGGAAATTCTATAGAAGGAAATTCTAATTCCTTTGTATAGTGGGAAACAAAGAAAGGGTTTGATTTGAGTGTTCCAGGATTTAGGAAGAGTTATGGATGAAACATATCAAAAGTGCAAGAATTAAAAACTGAAATGTTTTCCTTTGTTTTTGCAGCTATTTGGGTTTTGGATTAAAAGCTGCCAGACTAGCGACTCTTGGAGCCTTGAATACAGAAGGTATGTCCAGATAAGAGAACACTGAAGATTTCTGAAGAGATAAGTAGGCTTAGTCTTGTATCAGCAACCCATTTCATATGCCTTCATTGCTATATTTCACACTTTTCTGTTTTCCTGGTATAGATCTGTCCAGAAACTGAGCCTACTGCTTTGTTTTAGGAATGTCTTGTGAGAAAGCTGCTTTTCCAGTTTCAACTAGCAGTGAGACTGAAGAGTAAATTCCAGAAATGCACACACTAGATACATAGCCAGCCATCAATACAAAGCTTTACCAGCTTTCACATAAATGCAAACATCATAAAGCAGGTTCCCTGAGTAGGTTGCACAGTTCAGACTTCCTTACTTTTGCCTGAAGACCTTAATGAAGATCTCTCAGCCTTTTCTTTTCTGGCTTTGCACACTGATTGATAACTGCATTAAAATTCATCCTTCCTGACCCTCTTATTTCCAGTTGCAGATGGACAAATGTTCCGCAGTTCTTGTTTGCCAAAGCAACTGGAAGCAGAGTGGCACTTTGGGGGAGTGAAGTACCGGTATGGGGGCAACAAAGAAGGTAAAATAAAGCAACTTTTTGCTTCTTGTAAGATAAGTCTTGCCTCCAACATCTGCATTTTTTCTTGTCAAATACTCCATCAGTTATATTAAGACTATGAAGGATACCTCTCCAATCATAGACATATGGAGCTTTGATAAAGCCATAGAATGATCTGAAGCTGTTAGAGTAGCTGGCCTGAGCTTGCTATGCACTGCCTTAAAAGGAAATGTTCGTTACTCGTACAAACAGAAGAGTTCTTTCTGAGGCTTGGAGCTGAGTGCTCTGGCTGTGTTAGGGTACAACAGCTGGTATACTGAAGAGTATTCTCTTGTGGAACTCTCTTAAAAATACTGTCTCTAATGCTGCAAGCAGAGCAAGAAGCTGCTACCAGCAGTGGCTAGAACAGTCTCCTTTGGTGATTGACATTGCTTTGTTTTACAGTAGAAAACATGATCACTGTGCTTGATTCAGTGTGTGTGTGTGGACTGGACCGATAAATTACAATGTAAAGGGGAGGGAAAGTGAAGTTTTACCTTGTAGGTGGTAGCAAATATAAATGAGATTCTGCTGACCACAGAACATAGCAATGGGAGCTTTGCCTAATAAGGAAGCATTTCATGCACCTACCCTAGTATGCTCAGCTCATCTATCAGATACTGCTGTGAACTGCTTTAGCCAGTTCCACTTGAGGATGGTGATCTAGAGTGCTTGCTCCACGCAGGTACCACGCTGGATTATGGAGAGGCTATCTAAGCTCTTCTCACCTCCTCCAATTCTTTAATCTCTGTTTCTTCCCATTTTCACTCTTGCCACCAATTCCTCCATCTTCTGGATGTGCCTCTTAGGCTCACCTCATCTGTCTTTGTCCCGGCAGGAGAGACAGGATTCAAGCCTTGCTACCTGGAAGTACTGAAAGTTGTCAAAGGAAAACTGCACCAACCAGATGAGATTCGTGGAAGTTCCTTCTATGCTTTCTCCTATTACTATGATCGAGCAGCTGACACCAACCTAATAGGTAAACTGGTCTGGGGTAATCTACTACATGTAAGCATGCCAACCAGAAGGTAGAACTCTGAAGATGGAGATAGGTGAAGCAGGGAAATGGCACAAGATGTCTAAGGAAAAGGAAACACACAAAATGCCTTCACATAACCCTCATTTTTGGTATTTGGAATTTGACAGAAAAGACTAGTGCTCTGAATGCTACTTATACTTCCAGCTCTGTTCGCTGTCCAAGGACTTCACTCCTGGCCCATCATCACAGAGTTGTACCCAGAATCTGCTTTGATTTAGAACTTAGCTGCTTGTAGGCTTATGAAGATATTTTCTCACCTCTTTCTTTTCAGATTATGAACAGGGAGGAGTTCTGGAAGTGAGAGATTTTGAAAGAAAAGCCAAAGAAGGTAACTATCATCAAACATGGGAAACCGTTGGGGGAGGATAAATCATTAAAGATGAATGTTTACAAGGCAGTACTTCATGTGTTTGACTTGAAAAAAATGATTGTTTAGCCTTTATTTCACTTACACTCCCACGTTTTGCTACTTACCTTCTGTTATGCCAAACCTCTAACTGTTGCTGAATAAAGTATTGAAGAACAGTAACAAGAAGGAAAGTGGTAGCATCTTTGCAGTTCTGTTCAGGAAATAAGGGAAACAGCTTATAAATGTCAGCACAAAACAGTACATTTCCATCTAAAAGATGACACTTGTTGTAAATGCACTTCCTAGTCACTGTAACCCTTCTTGTAGAATCTTTGCTGTAGTGTGAGTGGTAGTTTGGGCAATAGTCTCTTGGACATGTGGTTGAAAATTTAAAATTAAAAGCAGCTGCCAGCCCAGAAGGTGGAATCTGTTACTAGACCCATTTTTGGACAGATTAAGGAAGATAAGTGTTGCCGTGTTCTTAAAATAAGCAGTCTACCAGGCAACTACCCTGGCAGCTATTGATTGAGCAGAGGTTCAATCTTCAAAAGAGCAATATGAACTATGTTGCTGTAACAAAACATACACTTCTGATAGAGTTAAGAGAAACTGTAATTACTCTCTAACTTTATAGAAGAGCTGTGTAGTATGTACCATGTGTTATATAACCACATTAATAGAAGCAGGTGATGTGCTTTAGTGGATTTTGGCTTAAGGTCATTTCAAAAGCCCCTTTATTTTGCTGATTTTTTTTTTTAATTATTTTTTCTTTCTCTAGTCTGTGATAACATGGAGAGGTTCAGCTCAGCCAGTCCTTTCCTCTGCATGGATCTCACTTACATCACTGCTTTATTAAAGGAAGGTTTTGGATTTAGAGACAACACACTCTTACAGGTGAGAAGTTCAATCCCAAAACCTGCTTTTCAATTTCTTTGTCAATCAATATGCAGTGGTTCATTTTTCTGGCTAACTAGCTGCTGGATCTTTCCAGGGTTGCTATGTGTAGTTGCTGTTATGTGCAATTCTCAACATATTGGGAACACTGTTGGTAACAATTGCTTTTTTTCCTTTTATAGTTAACAAAAAAAGTGAACAACATAGAGACAAGCTGGACTTTGGGTGCTACCTTTCACTTATTGCAGTCTCTGGGGATAACATATTGAACTGTGACATTCCTATGGATTTCAGCACTTCTGAAAGTTTGAGAAAACAAACTGAAATCACCAGGTACATTATCCAGCTGGAGTCAGTCACAGAGTGGAAAATGGACCAAAGCTATAAAACAGACCCTACCTGGGATTGGCACTGCACATAATGAAAGTTGCCACAATATAATTGTGATTGTCATAAATAATCCAAAAGCTGCCTTCTGAAAGTCAAAAGGCCTAAACTCCTGCAGAGTATCTGCAAGAGACTCAAAGCCAGCTTTCACCAGCACATTTGTATAGCATCCCATTGCTAAAAACACAGCATACTTGGGACACTGTGGTAAATTACAGATGGTATTTCTCCTCCCCCATTTACTTTAAGCATACAGTACTGAAGTTTGCTTGCAAGACATTAAATACAGAAATTATACGTGATACCAATGGCCATTCAGAGAAAATTAAACAATAACCCTGGATGCTCCCAGCCTCAGTGTTCAAAGTACCCAGCTGTTAGCTAATATGTTACAAGATGACATCAGCTTTTCTATAAGCACTCTTCAGGTATAATTTTAGGAAACGTATTGGCTGAAACATAGGCTGTACCACACCAAGCATTTCTTTCAGCAGTAGTTTCTTAAGCAACATCTGTGCCGACAGATTGCATGACTACCTTTGTGCTGCCCTTTAAAAGTCTGTACTGCATGGCTGCACATCTGGATATCAGGCCTTGATTCATTTTAGCATCTACAGCTGTAACACAGTGCAGGCACAAAACTAGGCAGCAAGATATTGAAAATGCCAGATATTGAAAACTCCACTGCCAAAAGAAATGCTCGTCACATTACACCACAAGGAAATCAAGGATGCGGTCAGATAAAGTGTCTGATGTAATAGTTCACTTTGCCTTGACTATGTTCTGTTCAAAATGGAATATGGACCTTAAAGATGAACTTAGCACAATCTTAGGAACAGAGCTTTTATTCACCCCTGCCTTATGTCAAACACTTTGTTCCTTTCAGGCATTTGCACTTACACGTATATTCCAGCACATCTTTTTCACTTTGGCAAAACCCAAGATTGCTCTCACACTACCTTCTCTGGAAACTGGATTTGGAAATAATTGCTAATGCCCAGCACAAGGAAGAAATAGCGCACTCAAATCCTAGCTAATCGCATCCTAGGAATTTCCCTTACTGTGAACATTGGTCATTTTCCTCTTAGCAGCACAAGTCTGGCGATGACTGATTAAGTTATCCCATTCCCCTGCCTCAGGTTTTATAGTGCTAGGATGCAAACCATGTTTTTGATTGAACAAGTTCGGTCAGCACCAGGAGTCCAAGGATTGTAGGGGGGGAGCAGCCTGTAACTGTCCCACTTTTGACACCTTGTAAACTCAGACTGTTTCTTTGGGATATGAAATGAGCATCCTACTTGTGCTCCTTACCAGAATCTGTTAGATGCATGTTGGGAAATGCATCAGCACCTCAGCAAACTTCGCTCCTCTGTCACTACAAAAATTCATTTGAGCAGGAAGAAATTAGCCATGGAGTCCAGCCTTGATGCTGGCCTTTTCTTTACGAGGAACCTTTCTTATTCCCCTGCTTAGCATTTGGAAAAAACTTAGTGCATGGTCTGCATGCATTGTTTCAACAGCAAGGTGACAACAAACATATTCATCTTCTTCTGAATGACCAATTTTCTTCACCTTTGTATTCTTTGGAGAACACAAAGAAGGTTGCAGTGATTAATAGCCAAGTGTGTTACTCCTGAGAAGTAGCTAATGCAATGAATCAAAGGCTTCCGGTCTGAGCCAGTGCTATGACAAACTCTCTTAGTAGATCCTGAGGCCAAGAGCCACAAGCAGTGAGGCTGTACTTGAAACACAAAAGCAAGGTGGGGTATTATTCTTAAGGCACAAGCAGAAGTGTATCTGCCAAGTGAATAAAGCCTAGCCCTGACAAGTACCTGAGGGTTTGGTTTTGTCCTGAGGGAGGATATCTAGAAGAGGACATACCATGTGGAGTAAGTTTCTTTTCTGCATTCTTTGCCTCAAACTCCGGTACTACAAATCCTAGGTGGGAGCATCCATTATCTTGTACCAAAGTTGCATTAAATCTGAATGCTCAGGGCCTTCATTTGTCAGTGGCACAATTCATTAACTGAAACTCACCTGCTGCTCTCTATCAGGGGCCTGATCCTGCAGTCACAAGAGAAACAAAAACTCAGCTCAAAGGTTTCTTTTACAAGAAATTGCAGAATTGAGCCCTTACTGTTTACATCTGAATTACTACAAGTGGGTTGAGGATATAGGGAAGCCAGTCATGTCCTCACACCCTAGTGCAATGATTTTATTTATTAGCTTAACTATAGACTAAATAGCCTTCTAAGGGAAGAGTTCTACTTGCACCACTGATTTTTATCTTCTCCTTTGTTAAGTCTCTTATCCTGATTACCAGGAACTGCTTAGTATGTGTGACTGAAGAAGCACAAGTAATGGCTTTCAGTACAAAACTTATGTTTAATTATTTGTGATTTTAATTCCTGATACTGGTTACCATATCTACAAATCTCGCCCAGTAGCAGCGCTCACTCAATGTTTTGAGTCTCAAATGTCTAATGCAGGAGGGCTGGCATTTGGAACATAGGACAGAATATCTTGATTTTCTATTTTAGTAATTAAAGCATTTTTAACAATATTTACAACTTTGTCCTGAAGTTTTCTTTCCTTGATGTTATCTTGCAACTTGTTTTCATGGTATTGGAAAGCTCTTAAGACTAACCAGTTCCACAAGAAACATCACTATTAAATAAAAGCATCATGAGAATGCCAAGGAAAAAGGTGAAGGAGAGAGATTAGAACATTAAAACATACCTATCTGCCACTGGGAGTTGGTCTTTTCTGCTGAAAACTCACCCTCCTTTCGGAGTCCACTTCGGAAGTGGTTAAGAACACAGAATTGACATAACAGTTTCAGAATCACACCGTGAAAAACTGAAAGTAATTAAACAGCAAAATTTTTGCTAGCAAAATTCAGCCCAGTCCACTTTGGCCTTCAATTTAAAAGGTCCAAACTAAAAGCAGATTGTACAGACAGTTCAGTGGCCGAAGGGATAATGATACCACAGGAAGAGACCTCAAACCCTGCTGAGAAGAGCAGATGAGATATCATCTGCATAAACCAGAGAAGGTGTAAGACACAGCTCAATACTTCAGTTTTATTGTTAAATTAAAATAACACAATTCAAAAATTGTATCAGTGACAGTCCTTATAAAAATAATGCACACACTGGCAAACTGCTATTCCAAACTGAGAATGGATCACTTACTGGCAAAAGCCATGATTTGCTCCTAAAAAAGGGAGAAAGAAAAGTAATTTGTAAACTGGTGATAAGAATACATTTCAGAAAGCAGCTATAATCTCCTTCCCCTTTCCACATGGACAAGAGTTCTTGTCAGCCTTTTAATTAAGTGCAAAGTACCTATCCCTGTATGCAAGGAAATTAAAGAAATTGCAGCATTCTTTTCCTTCTTGAATAGTACAAAACAGACATAACCACCATGTTCTGTGGTCAGAAAAGAGACCTTTGCTTGGCTTTCTGCTTTCAACAGAGCAACTGAATAAACACCAAGCACTGAAGCAGCAGCATACTGCTCTTCTTAGTACAACTAGAGACATCAATTCAGCCTAGTGTCTTCTGTAATGTAATGCATAGGAATCTGACCACCTGTGTTTAATAGTAAGGAGGTGACTTGATTTGTGCAACAGAACAGTCAAATTCAGAAATGAGAAATCAAATTTGAAGGCATGTGGAACCTTTGAGAAAAGGTGCCTCAATGAACATCATGAAAATCCACCAACTACGTCGATGCTGTACAAATTTCTGGCAGCTAGGCTGCAAACAGAAGTTCTGTGCTTAAGTCTGAACCTTCTCAGGTAACTTCCATTGAAGGCTTCAACTTCGGCCAGCAGAGAACAATTTAACAGGGCAGAACAGCACAGAAACAGTATCTGTATAAGTCACATCCCACATCTGTCAAGTCACCTGGTGTCTTACTCTTAAGGAAGGTTTGTTTTCAGAGGGCTATTTTTTTCACAGTGCATTTCTGGAATGCAGTTCAAAGTTCCACGATCGTATTCCATAGCAAAATAAAGCCAAAGACTACTAGTGACTTTCAACCCACAATTACTGATGTAGAGTTAGATATCGAGATCCTTTATGTTCCCCTGTGCTGCAAAGAAATCCATAACTACCACAAGTTATTTAGGAAATCCTCAGGCTCATTCACAACACAAAACCTCATTTTGAACAACTTAGCATTTTCCAACCAAAAAATGTTTCATTGCAAAAATTCTTCAATGGCTCGTGTACAAAGGAAGAATCTTACTTTGATGGGAGGCAGGGCATTTGTTGCTTGCAATCCCCATGTCCTCAGCAACACCAAGGGAGAAAGGCTTGTGGAGTAAAGCCTCTTCAGTAAATCAATAGCAGCTATCAAGGAGACGTTGTGCCTCTGACGTTCTGTCTCAAACCTTAAGAGATGTTTTAAGGATCCTGGAAGAAATAATTGAATACTCACATTAAAAGTTACTTACAACAAATAATTGTTCATCTTATCTATATAGCAGTCTCTACAGATAACTGAAAACACAGAACAGATAAATGGTCCGTATTAATACAGGCTTGAGTCCATCAGCTAGTGGTTTTTGTTTCACTACCTTTAACTACCATCCTGCAAATCTTCTCTTTGCTTTTTTAAAGCATTTTTTTTTAGGTTTTGAGGATGTGAATGGCATCCAAGTATTTTTAATTGCTCCACAGCCAATGAATAGAAGAACAGTTTTGCTTCAAAGATGCTTGTGTCTTTTAAGCAAAAAAAGCAGCAAACTCAACCTGCAAACAGAGATGGTGCTTGTCCTGATGGTAGCAGCAGAGGTTTGTAAGGCTAAACATCTCACAGCCACCTCATTGTCTTGGATCCTTACCCAGATCTTGCCCGTTGAAGGCTGCTGCACTGAGGTGATGAGCTAAACATGCAATATCACCAAAACCCAGGTTTACACCTTGTCCTGCAAGTGGGTGGACTCTGTGTGCTGCATCCCTAGAGCAAGAGAAGATAGAAGAATAACCCTTCTTGAAGAAAGCCAAGTGGCCGACAGATTCTTCACTTTTTTGCAATTATGATCTTACAGCAGTATATACAGCTTTATCCAGTACCTCCTTGTGCTAAACTACCTGCCTACCTCTCCAGCTACAAGAAGCAAGAAAAAGAAAAAGAAAGAAAAAGAGGGGTCAGCAAAAAGTATGATTTTACCTTTCTGAGATAAAGAAGTGACTAGCTAAAGTCCAGTGTCAGGTCACACGTGAAACAGGCTTTACTATTTTTCTAAATGGCACGAGAGGAAGCATATCACCAACACATTTCACAAA